CGTTCCAACCCTCTTCTCCTCGATTTCATGCAATATCACATCGACAACTGCCCGACTGAGCGTGGTGAGACATACCAGCTTGCCAAGGCCCTGGGCCAACAGCTCATTGAGAACTGCCGGGAGGTTCTTGATGTTGCTCCCGTCTACAAGGACGTGGCCGTTCCTACTGGTCCTCAGACCACTATTGATGCTCATGGCAACATTGATTACAAGGAGGTTGACCGTGCTAGTGCCCGTAAGCTGGAACACTACGTGAAGCAGATGGCCGAAGCTGGCCCTATCTCCGAGTACAGCAACCGCACCAAGGTGCAGAATGATTTGAAGAATGTCTACAAGCTCATTCGCAAGCAGCATCGTCTTTCTAAGACCTCGCAGCTTCAATTCGATGCCCTTTACAAGGATGTTCTGCACGCCCTCAGCATGAACGAGAACCAGATCATGCCCCAGGAGAACGGCCAAGCCAAGAAGGGCCGCAACGGCCTGAAGCGTACCGTGACTCGCCCCGGTAAGGTGGAGACTATTCCTTTCCTTCACCTCAAGAAGAAGAGCGACCACGGCTGGGACTACAACAAGAAGCTCACCGGAACCTATCTGGATGTTTTGGAGTCCGCTGCTCGGGACGGTCTCTCTTTCCAGGGCAAGAATGTCCTGATGACTGGTGCCGGTGCTGGTTCTATCGGTGCCGAGGTTCTGCAGGGCCTCATCAGCGGTGGTGCCAAGGTCGTCGTTACTACCAGTCGCTTCTCTCGCCAGGTGACTGAGTACTACCAGGGCATGTATGCCCGCTATGGTGCTCGTGGATCCCAGTTGGTCGTCGTGCCTTTCAACCAGGGTAGCCAACAGGATGTCCAGGCCCTCGTCGACTACATTTACGACACCAAGAAGGGTCTGGGCTGGGACCTGGACTTTGTGGTGCCGTTCGCTGCTATTCCCGAGAATGGCCGAGAGATCGACTCCATTGATTCCAAGTCTGAGCTGGCTCACCGTATCATGTTGACCAACCTTCTTCGCCTCCTGGGCTCCATCAAGTCTCAGAAGCACGCCCACGGCTTTGAGACTCGCCCGGCTCAAGTCATCTTGCCCCTGTCACCCAACCACGGTACCTTCGGTAACGACGGTCTGTACTCTGAATCCAAGCTTGCCCTGGAGACCCTCTTCAACCGTTGGTACTCGGAGAACTGGAGCAACTACCTCACCATCTGCGGTGCCGTCATCGGCTGGACTCGTGGTACTGGTCTCATGAGTGGTAACAATATGGTTGCCGAGGGTGTTGAGAAGCTTGGTGTTCGCACTTTCTCCCAGCAGGAGATGGCTTTCAACCTTCTGGGTCTGATGTCGCCGGCTATCGTCAACCTCTGCCAGTCCGATCCCGTGTTCGCTGATCTTAACGGAGGTCTGCAGTTCATCCCTGACCTCAAGGGATTGATGACCAAGCTTCGCACCGACATCATGGAGAGCAGCGACATTCGCCAGGCTGTCCTCAAGGAGACTGCTATCGAGAACACTGTCATCAATGGTGAGGACAGTGGTGCTCTGTACAGGAAGGTTGTTGCTGAGCCCCGTGCCAACATCAAGTTCGAGTTCCCCACTCTTCCCGACTGGGAGACCGAGGTCAAGCCTATCAACGAGTCTCTCAAGGGCATGGTTAACCTGGACAAGGTCGTTGTTGTTACTGGTTTCGCCGAGGTTGGTCCCTGGGGTAACTCCCGTACTCGTTGGCAGATGGAGGCCCACGGTAAGTTCTCTCTGGAGGGCTGCGTCGAAATGGCTTGGATCATGGGTCTTATTAAGCACCACAATGGTCCCCTCAAGGGCAAGGCCTACTCTGGCTGGGTGGATGCTAAGACTAGCGACCCGGTTGATGACAAGGATGTCAAGCCTAAGTACGAGAAGTTTATTCTCGAGCACACTGGTATCCGTCTGATCGAGCCCGAACTGTTCAAGGGCTACGACCCCAAGAAGAAGCAGTTGCTCCAGGAGATTGTCATCCAGGAAGACCTGGAGCCCTTCGAGGCCTCCAAGGAGACCGCCGAGGAGTTCAAGCGCGAGCACGGAGACAATGTCGAGATCTTCGAGATCCCCGACTCTGGCGAGTTTACCGTCCGTCTTCGTAAGGGCGCCACCCTGCTTATTCCCAAGGCTCTTCAATTCGACCGCCTGGTCGCTGGTCAGGTCCCTACTGGCTGGGATGCCAGCCGCTACGGTATCCCTGCCGATATCATCGAACAAGTGGATCCTGTGACCCTGTTCGTTCTTGTCTGTACTGCTGAGTCTATGCTCTCCGCTGGTATCACCGACCCCTATGAGTTCTACAAGTATGTCCACCTTTCTGAGGTCGGTAACTGCATTGGTTCCGGTATTGGTGGTACCCACGCTCTGCGTGGTATGTACAAGGATCGCTACCTCGACAAGCCTTTGCAGAAGGACATTCTGCAAGAGTCTTTCATCAACACCATGAGTGCTTGGGTCAACATGTTGCTCCTGTCCTCCACTGGTCCCATCAAGACCCCCGTTGGTGCTTGTGCCACTGCTGTTGAGTCCGTTGACATTGGTTATGAGACCATTGTCGAGGGCAAGGCTCGCGTTTGCTTCGTCGGTGGTTTCGATGACTTCCAGGAGGAGGGCTCTTACGAGTTCGCCAACATGAAGGCCACCAGCAACGCTGAAGACGAGTTCGCCCACGGTCGTACCCCGCAAGAGATGTCTCGTCCCACCACCACCACCCGTGCCGGCTTCATGGAGTCCCAGGGTTGCGGTATGCAGCTCATCATGAGTGCTCAGCTTGCTCTCGACATGGGTGTGCCTATCCACGGTATTATTGCCTTGACCACCACTGCCACTGATAAGATTGGCCGTTCCGTCCCCGCTCCTGGCCAAGGTGTTCTCACCACTGCTCGTGAGAACCCTGGTAAGTTCCCCTCGCCTCTGTTGGATATCAAGTACCGCCGCCGTCAAATGGAGCTGCGCAAGAAGCAGATCAAGGAATGGCATGAGTCTGAGCTGCTCTACCTCCAAGAGGAAGTCGATGCTATGCAAGCTCAGAGTGATGAGACCTTCAACGCCTCTGAGTACATGCAAGAGCGCGCTCAACACATTGAGCGTGAGGCTATTCGCCAGGAGAAGGACGCACAGTTCGCTCTGGGCAACAACTTCTGGAAGCAAGATTCTCGCATCGCTCCTTTGCGTGGTGCCCTGGCCACTTGGGGTCTGACTGTTGATGATATTGGTGTCGCCTCTTTCCACGGTACCTCGACTGTTGCCAACGATAAGAACGAGTCCGATGTCATTTGCCAGCAGCTCAAGCACCTTGGTCGCAAGAAGGGTAATGCCGTTATGGGTATCTTCCAAAAGTACCTCACTGGTCACCCCAAGGGTGCCGCTGGTGCCTGGATGTTCAACGGCTGTCTCCAAGTGTTGGAGACCGGTCTTGTCCCCGGTAACCGCAATGCCGATAACGTTGACAAGGTGATGGAGAAGTTCGACTACATTGTCTACCCCAGCCGCAGCATCCAAACCGACGGTATCAAGGCATTCTCGGTCACTTCCTTCGGTTTCGGACAAAAGGGCGCCCAAGTCATTGGTCTTCACCCCAAGTACCTGTACGCCGCTCTTGACCAGGCTCAGTACGAGACCTACAAGACCAAGGTTGAGTCTCGCCAGAAGAAGGCTTACCGCTACTTCCACAACGGTCTGATCAACAATAGCATCTTCGTCGCCAAGAGCAAGGCTCCTTACGAGGATGAGATGCAGAGCAAGGTCTTCCTGAACCCCGACTACCGTGTGAGCCTTGACAAGAAGACCTCTGAGCTGAAGTACTCAGCCACTCCCCCCAAGGCCGAGTCTGAGGACAGAACCCGCCAGATGGTTGAGTCTTTGGCCAAGGCGAACGCGACCGCTAACTCCAAGGTCGGTGTTGATGTTGAGGCCATCGACGCTATCAACATCTCCAACGAGACTTTCGTGGAGCGCAACTTCACTGCCAGCGAGCAGGAGTACTGCCGCAAGGCCCCCTCGCCTCAGTCCTCGTTCGCAGGCCGATGGAGTGCCAAGGAGGCTGTGTTCAAGTCTTTGGGTGTGAGCAGCAAGGGTTCCGGTGCCGCCCTGAAGGAGATTGAGATTACAAGCGACGCCAACGGCGCCCCTGTGGTTAACGTAAGTACAACTTTCACATATATTCCTCTTGCCTAGTGATCGGCAACGCTAACGAGAGATCTTCATTATTTTAGCTTCACGGTGCCGCCGCTGCCGCTGCCAAGCAAGCCGGTGTCAAGTCGATCACTGTCAGCATCAGCCACAGCGATACCCAGGCTGTGGCCGTCGCTGTTTCCCAGCTTTAAATTTCAGATTGTTGTATCTCGTGCCATTTTTTTTCCCCCTGCGTGTTTTACATAAATGCTGAAGAAAACAGCTGAAGTGGCCGTTTTATTCTCTCTCGGCTCCGTTTCTCTTCCTCTTTTCTCTCCCCCTTTCGAGACGTGATGACTGTGATTTATGTTTGTGTTTCTTTTCTCTAGATTCGAGCCAGTTTCGTCTCCTGGTTCGTTGGTGTTTATAATGGGAGTAATGACATGCCATAATTTCATCTATTTCGAACCTGTTCAACGTTTTTTTTTTTTAATGTTATAAATATGCAACAAGTAACCAAACCACCTTGGAAGTCGTAGGAGTAAATCCATTTATATTGTAACATAGAATATGTAATATGAATGTTTTTATTTGTTCGCGCTAGAACGCTTCTATACTAGTATAGAGTAGGCGGTAGCTACTAGTGTACATACTGTAGGCGGTGATAAAATGGCGGTGAAAACCGAGAGATGGAAACTTATGAGATGCCACTGTAGGCTTTTAGCCTATGTTATTTCCAGATCATATTTTGAACCGCGGGTTTCAATAGATGTAGCTTTGAGCTTTGAGCATTCAATAACACAAGCGGGCGGAGAAACCAAAAAAAACCCCCCCAATTAGATATATTGACAGCCAATGGATAGGTATACATTTCATCATTTTGTGACTGAGGCACGGTTCAAAGGTCCCCAATTCGCGCGAGGATTGATCTGGTATCGGACCAAACGCTTTTTCGAATGTGCAGCTGAAGCTTCACGGCCCAGAGCAGAATCGAATTTGACTTCGAGGCTGCTAGGATGAGCATGCTCAGAGGTCTTTGTGGCGCCCGTTTCCTTCTCCGAGGCAGATAGTGGCTCCGCTTCAGATTCAGCACTAGCAACAGTCTGTGAAGTCTCCTCTGAGGACTTCCAGGCTTGTCGAGAGCCAGATCGATAGATAGAAGCCTCGACCTTGGTAACAAGGTCACTGACGTCGCGACCAGACTCCACGGCAGACATGATATCCCGCTTAAGCATGGATAGCCATTGGCTTTCTTCGTCTAACTTACGGAGGTTGTCGCGACTCTTAGCCATGATAGCTGCGCCGGCGCTGCCCGGTTTCAAGGATCCATCCTTGATAGGGCTTTCTTGACGGATCCACTCGCGCATGACCTCCCAAACGACGCTCCAAGGGGCATCGGTGCGAACGGAGTTGGGCTTGGCGTGGCTGCGAGTGGAGCGGTATCCAATGGAATGAAGAGCCCCGCGGAATTCATCAATCGGCGCAGTGGAGCAGTGCAAAACCTTCGAGAGGCTACCAAGGAGCATAAAGAAGGGGTAAGGGTCTCGACGAGCCGGGTCCATTCGTGGAATAATGGCTGGGTATTCGGCGGAAAGGTCATTTGTTTCAGTGGCCACCTCCGTCTGGGCACTCGAGGAGGCGCATAGGGTGAGGTCCAGATCTTCCTCCAGGGCTGTGGTCAACATTCCTTCAATTCGAGGAATGGTTTGATATACCGTAGGATCAAGTTTGGGGAGGTTGGCCAGAATTCTTTGGATGAAAGCTGGGTTATGCAGCGGGCCGGCCCACATAGGACCAGCAAGGTGCGTCTTGAAGCCACAGTGCTCGCAGTTAGTGTTGGAAACAGGAGCTTGAGCCAGTCCGTGATGGTACAAAGCGTTACCCTTGCGGTTGAGCTTTGTCTTCAGTGAGGCCAATGGCTGGGTCGACCAGGCACCACAGCCGGAATCGCAGTTGTAGACGACCATCGAGTTGGCGCCAAGGAATTTGACTTGTGCTGGAGAGCGATACACGCGCACAAACACACGAGCGTAGAAATCGATTGACAGTGAAAGCAAAGGCTCAACGGACAACCCATACTTGGCAGCCGACATAGCCAGACTGTTAAGAATCAGTCGGAGCCCACCCTCGTGTGAGTGGGGGCCTTTCATTGGCATGCCACCATACAAGGAAAAGGATTTCTCGGCGTAACCGGTTGATGCCCAGATACTAGCATCAGTGCAAGTGACACAGAGAAGACCGCCATCTTTGACACTCTGAACCGCTGCGTCTAAGAAAGGCGCCGCAGTTCCATATGGATCCAAATCGATGACATCGAATTTGTCAACTGAGGGCAGCTGATACATATAAGCACGTGCATCGCCAAGATTGGGTTGAATCAGGGATTCAAGCTTGTTGTAGTCGATATTTGTCTTCATCGAGTTAATCGCAGATGCTGACAGATCGTTTGCCACCACCTTAGAGACCATGGGAAGCTCCGAAGCATACCGAAGAGCACGCAAGCCTGTGGCAGACAGGGCGTCCAGGACGGTAAACTGCGGCCGGGAGGATGTACCAGATGGTGCCTCTTTCTCTTGTTTCACCTCGGCTGGAGCGCCCGGTTGCTCTACCGAATCATCCTCTGACTTGACTTTAGTCTCCTCATCCACTCGTTTAGACGCAGGTTCTTCTGCAGCCGCATCTTCCTCTCGCTTCCGCTTTTTCGCATTGTCGGCCGAATCGTCCGTCTTGCGCTTCTTGAGCTTCTGCGCCTCCTTCTTTTCCTTCAATTGCATGGCATGTTCACCAAAAGCCCGAATCGCCAGTACACTGAGGTCTCGATTAAATTGTTGGATCGGGTTATAGAAGACAGCCTGGGATTCATCGTCGGCCTTCAAATCTTTCTTCGTTGCTTTGGAAGCAGCTTCCTGTGAAGGTGGGTTCAAAATGTGCGCCAATCCTTCCTTGATCACATTATATTCCTTTTCCCGGTACTGCACGCGGGTGCTGGTGGTATCGGTGGAGTTCTCCATGGCTTTCGGCGAGTGACAGAACGATCTTGAGAATTGGGGTGTGCGAAGGAATTGAGCGTATGTGGGGCACTTGGAACTAAATGCGCATCTTGGGAGCCAAGCAAATATTGACTGAGCGGAACGGGAGTTCATGGAAAGTCTTCAAGAGGTTCAATCCATGTGGAAAAGTTGAGCAAGTTGAAGTTGAATCGAAAGGGAAAAAAAAGATCCCTCGCACGGACCAAGTGGGCTTCATACTACACTGAGAAGGAGATACTATACTCTACAGTACTATACTATGTACTTACTACTCAACGTACTACTCAACGTATTCGATAGTATACATTAAGCTAACATTGAATGTGCCATGATTCTTGGTTTTCCTTGAAATTTATTAAATATTAACAGTATTAGAGTGAGAGACAAAAAGATCTCAGTCGCATCTATGAGTACAGTACATTTATGTGCATCATAAACAATTCAATCAGAACCAATCTCCGATGACTGGTACTTGACTGTACATGTCATTCCATCCCTGTGCCTCCCAGCCAACACCTTCACCAGCGCGACCAACAATACCAAGAGCACCTGCGAGCCAGAGCGCAGCACCGGCGGCTGCAATACCATTAACCATCCACCACATCTTGCGCTGTCGCTTTGCGCGGTCATGATTCTCGGGATAACCAAGCAACCCTTCCAGCGAGCCTTTACTGGTGTGCTGTTTCCGGGCACTTGTAACTCGCCAGCCCATCCAGGTTGCCCAGCCACCAATGAAATGCCATACGCTAGCGGTGACAAATACCAGGTAGAAGATGTTCCAGAATACGGGGCTGCGCGCCATGCCATGGGCTACATAGCCTAGTCCAACACCGGAGCTACTGCCTTCCACCATGACTGGTGTTATACGGTTCACAACGGCATGGAGTCCAATTAGCGGGGCGACAAGATATCCTGAGCGAGCCTGAAGAGAAATCCGAGGCCACCAAGAGAGCATGTTCCGTTGCGCACGAGTTTCTGCACCGTATAACCTTGCCCGTCGCGAGGAGCGGAGATTGCGCAATGCGATACCGGAGACAACGTGGGCGATGATTGGAAGAGTAAGGACGAGATGTTCAAGCCCGGGGGCCTGGTAGACTGGTCGCGTGAGCAGGAGGTAGGGCTCACTGGCAGGCACCGATTGGGTCACGAGGGGGATAAGAGCGGTGTTGGCAAAATGGAGGACAAAGAAAGCTGTCGGAGGATATGTCGAATATTTTTGAAGGCCGGATACTGTATAAATCATATATATGTAATGAGCATCAATTGGTTGAGAGAGTATTTCGCGTTGGGATCAACATACACAATGCATCCCACCGATGCGGTCGAAGACCTAGCGCGGGCACTGGAAAGCCACATGCCCTTCGAGGTTTATCTTCAACTGGCTTGGTCAAGTACTCCTCGGACTCGACATCTGGGGTGGAGTCGTCATTGAAAGGCGAAGGGTCCAGTTCTTGCATAGAAATTATGGACTTGGCGTCCATATCCACCGGTTTGAGATCTCTGGACTCCATTTCTCTTCGCACAGAAGAAATTAATTGTAAACGGAGAAAAAGAGTAAAGGAATTAAAAAAGAAACAAGAAATAGGAGATTCGTCTTGATTATAATAACATCATTCGTGGCATGTAGAAGTTGAGGAAAGAGAAAAACAGGGAAAAGAAAGTTGGGGAAAGAAGCGCCGATCCCGATCATAGGAAACATAAGGTCGCTGATAGGTGCACGAGTACCTTGACATTTTGAACATCCAGTCCCATCATGCCTCCAGTAACGTTCCCCCTTTCCCATCAACCCACGTCTGGGGGCTATATTGTATACAGATATACTAACATGTGAATACAGCGTGGATTCACTAACCCTGCTCCAAAGGTTGCAAAAACTCCCTTTCCCCCCGCGTGAAGCCTAGCTAAACCTATTCTCAGACCGAGTCGGCGCGGACTGCCCTCAGTTCCTTCACTTGTACTCTGTGTAACAAATCCTATTCACGACATCCAGAATATGAAGCGCATATCGGGTCCTACGATCATCAGCACCGAAAGCGACTGCAAGATTTGAAGCAACTATCGCGCGATCCCAATGCTGCAGAGAAGGCCCGACGCGCAGAGCGCAAAGCGGATGCCGAGGCGGGGCTAAGAGTGATTGATGCGCCTATCGCCAGTACCAATTCTACTGGAACAACTGGTGGAGGGGGCTTCAAAAAGGGCGGTTTCAAGAGTTCCTTCGCAGCTGTCAAGGGCTCTGCGGCACCCGTATTGAAAAAGAATGTCTTAGGGGACGACGACGATGATGAGGCCCAGACAACCCAAAAGAATCAACAGGGATCAACAGCTTCCAAGTCGACGACGCGCGGGGATGAAATGAACGACGCAGAAAGTGACACTGATGAGGAATACGGACAAGATAAGCAGGGTGGAGGATACTATGATCCTCGCCAACCTACTGGTTGCCTTGCTGGATGTGCAGGGCTTCGGTGATACAATTTTGCTGCTTTATTATATTCCCTTTAGGAGCATCTACTCGTTCTGTGGGTTTCATTTGCATTGCCAGAGGCGTTGGGCGAGATACCATTATGTTACGTACTCTATTGAAAATTGATTGACATTTTTTTGGAGGGAAAGCTTGGGATTCAAAAAAATGACATGGAAACTGGCAATTGTCTATCAATCTAAAAGTCAAGATAGTGAGGGAAAGCATTTACGCTGGAGGAATCAAAAGGCAACCGACTCTAGGAAGGTAATCGTACATAGGTTTCCAAAAACCGGCCTAGGTGAGAATAAATAGACATGATGGAACAAACGGATAGGGAAAAAAAAGATAGAACAGATGAAAGGGTACTAGGCACATGGTTTTATTACTGCTTCGATATCACTTCACTTACACCCGCAGAAGCTTGGCGGCCTGGCTGACAATGGTGTCCTCCTGGGGGAAGGCCATGTTCTCCAGACCAACAGCGTAGGGGGTGGGCACCTCAGCACCAGTGACACGGACGGCAGGGGCAGTCAGGTAGTCGAAGCCGTACTCCATGGCCAGGGCCATGATCTCAGAAGAGACACCGAACATGGGGTATCCAGACTCAACAACCATGAGGCGGCCGGTCTTCTTCAGGGAGGCAATGATGGTCTCAACATCCAAGGGCTTAATGGAGCGCAGGTTGATAACCTCAGAGTCGACACCGTACTTCTGCTTGAGCTCGGCGGCGGCGGTAAGGGACTGTCCGACGCAGCGGGAGAGGGAGACAATGGTCAGGTCCTTTCCGGGACGCTCAATCTTGGCCTTTCCAATGGGGAGAACGAAGTCGTTCTTCTGGGCGGCCTCGCTCATGGGGAAAGCTTGACCGTACATAAGCCTATTCGCAAAGACTTCGTTAGTTCTCTGATACCCGAGCTCAACACCCAACGGAAAAACATGAAAACCAAGGACCGCAAAACGTACTCATTCTCCAAAACGACGACGGGGTTGGGGTCACGGATAGCAGCCTTCAGCAGACCCTTGGCGTCCTCGGAGCTCCATGGGGAGACAACCTTAAGACCGGGAATGCTGCCGTACCAGGCAGAGTAGTCCTGGGAGTGCTGAGCGGCGACACCGGCGGCGAAACCGTTGGGACCACGGAAGGTAACGTTGCAAGGCTGGATACCACCAGACATGTAGTGAGTCTTAGCGGCGGAGTTGATAATCTGATCGATGGACTGCATGGCGAAGTTGAAAGTCATGAACTCGCACTGGAGGAAAAGGGTCCGATTAGCATCTCCATTTTGCTCCGTATCTGGGCTTCAAATCTCTCCGGAAAAATACTCACAATGGGGTGCAGACCAGCTAGAGCAGCACCGACGGCAATACCGGTGAAACCAGCCTCAGTGATGGGGGTATCAATAACCCGCTTGGGTCCAAAGCGGTCCAACAGGCCTCGGGTGACCTTGTAACTGCGAGTAGAATTCCATGTTAGGATGTGTTTTTCCCTCCCTTTCAAACAAAGTCGCAGCCATCTTTATCGAATGGGCCATGACAATCGATCAACAAATGGGGCTCTTACGCTCCGTTGTACTGTGCGACCTCCTCACCCAGAATGAAAGTCTTCTGGTTGAGCTCCAACTCCTCCGCAAGGGCCTCGTTCAAGGCATCACGGACGGTGACCTGCTTAACACCATCCTCCGATGCATATCCTCGGGCGCGCAAAACGGATTGAGCGCAAACAGACGGGGCAAAAGCCGGGCGAAGAGTGGTGGTGGCCAGGCGCGAAGAAGCCAGACGGGCCGCTGGGCGGAAAAGTCGGGAAGAGACCATGGCGATTAATTGGTATGGGAATGGAAAGAACGGAGGAAGGAAGAACGAGAATTGACAAATCCGCAAGGCCGAAACGGACACACCAAGCGTAAGATTCCAAATTAATTGAGGTTGGGAAGAAAAAGGGAAGGCCGCGCTATGAATCTTTGAGATTCAAATCGGAAAGATGTTGGGCGCTGAGTCAGCCCCGCCCACCTCACCGGCAGCTCCTTCCGTAACCGTACGAGGGAGCTGTTTCCCTTGTACCTGGTGACTTTTGTGTTGAAAAGAACTATATATCACTTGCAGAAGGTCACAAGGTTATTCCTTGCTCCTCTCGTCTTCCTTATTTCTTCCTATCAAGAGGACCTGGGGGCAAAACTACAGCTTCATTCCACTTCCCGCCGGCCCCGGGAAACTCCAACATGTTGTTGTCCGTGTTGCCCTGGCTCCTCCCGTCGGCGCTCGCCGCTCAACCATCCGCGCCTAACCCCATCCCCGTTCCTCTACGTGATCTCGAGTTTGGCCAAATAAATTTCCTTCATACTACTGATACTCATGGCTGGCTGGGTGGTCATCTACAGGAGTAGGTCTCTGGAGAAGCTTCTCTGTTGTAATCGCCGACGCTGACCGTGGATATGCGTACTGTACCAGACCATCCTATTCCGCCGACTGGGGAGACTACATCTCTTTCTCCGCGCATTTGCGGGAAAAGGCAGAAGCTCAAGGTCAAGACTTACTGGTCATAGATACAGGTGATCGGGTTGAAGGGAATGGGCTCTACGACTCATCCGAACCCAAGGGCATATATCTCTCTGAGATCCTCCGCAATCAACATATTGACGTGATAACCTCGGGAAATCATGAACTATACCAATACAACACATCAAATAATGAGCTGCTGACGACCGTCCCCAACTTTCGGGGTCATTACCTCTCCTCCAATATTGATATATATCACCCCACAACCAAAGAGCTGGTTCCACTTGCGCCACGGTACAAGAAGTTCACCACCAAGCTACAGGGCATCCGCATCGTAGCATTTGGGTTTCTTTTCAATTTCAATGGAAACTACAACAATACCGTTGTGCAGCCGGTGGAAGCTACCATCCAGGAAGCCTGGTTTCAAGAAGCGATCCAAGATAAAGAAGTGGATCTCTTTTTAGTGGCCGGGCATGTCCCGGCGCATTCACCGGAATACCGTGCGATCTTCAGGGCGATCCGCAAACTCCACTGGGCCACGCCTATCCAATTTTTTGGTGGACACCAACATATTCGCGACTTTGCGCAATATGATTCCAAAGCTGTGGCCCTGGCCAGTGGCCGATTTATGGAGACTATCGGGTTCATGTCGATCGACGGTCTTTCGACCGCTAACCGGCCAAGTGTGGCTTCAAGCCCCGTGTTTAAGCGACGATACATAGATAACAACCTTTTCTCTTTCTATCACCACACCGGACTGGACGAAGATTCATTCCCGACCGAGAAAGGTCTTGAAGTCTCCAAGATGATTGCTGAGGCGCGGAGCGCCCTTAATCTGGATAAGATATATGGCTGCGCCCCTCATGACTTGTGGATGTCGCGTGTGCCTTACCCCCATCCAGATAGTATCTATACTTGGCTAGAGACTGAAGTACTGGGAACTTTATTGAAAGATGATTCTCGACGTGATATCCCTGCAGTCGCCATTTTGAACACAGGTGGGATTCGTTTCGATATTTTCAAGGGCGAGTTCACCCACGACAGCGCATTCAGTATATCACCCTTCATAAATGATTTCCGCTTTGTGAAGGACGTCCCTTATAACAAAGTCCAACTTCTTATGGAGGTACTCAACAAACAGACCAAGATCTTGGAAATGGCACAAACCGAGAACGATCTATCTATGATTGATCTCATGGCCCCTGATCAACAGGATCTTGCACAGCATATCATCTCCAATAAAAAGAATCCTGGCAACCAATGGCTTTCCACGGGGCCCTCCGGGGGTCATCAAGTTCCCCTTGTGGCCAAGCGTGGGGACGCCCAAATTATCCCTGGATATACGACCAAGGATGATGCAGGTACAGATGGAGACGATACCATCCATTCACCCATCAGTGCCTATCAGATGCCCAATTGTATCCAGGCTTTCCTGTCTTCCAATGACACAGAGGTTCCCGAGACAGTGGATCTGGTCTACATCAATTTCGTTCAGCCGTTCCTGGTGTTAGCTGGTAAGTATGCTGGCCTTGATGTTGATTTCGTCAAAGACAGTGAAGTGTACATGCCCAACACTACTCTGTCAGATCTGATTTTACAATATGTGGAAGAGAATTGGAAGTGCGAGTAAATATAGCTATCTCTGAACATTGGATTTCGGTCTGTGCTAAAGCTTTCTCTGTTTGAAAGCTTTCAGTTGGAGTTTTTGGTCATACACTACATACAAACCTTGTAACTAACTACTACGTATATCAACATTGATTAGATAGGCTTGGGATACATAAAGATTGGCTTTAACAGAATATACGTGGATACACATGCATCTACAATCATTCAATTTTTAAAACTGGCCGCCAAGTGGCATAGATAGTAGATTCCTCTGTCTGGACATTGAACTATTTTATGTACTCGGGAAATATATGATACATGTACTGATGAACACTGGACGAAAGGTTCCTTCACTCATCACCTCCAGTGTAAGTAAACACACCCTTTCCACTGCGGTATCCACCCAAAGTGCCCTGCACACTCTCAGCTAGCTCTGCACCCTCGGATTCCCAGTTCCACTTGACTTCGTCAACGGGGATGTCCTTGAAACGACCCGCACGCGTCAACTGCAACACATCCTTAATAGTGTTCTCCTTCAGCACTGGGTTCTTATCGCCCCATCTGCTGACCCAAAAGCCATCAAAGACAAGGTTCTTGAAGATCAACAATCCAGAAGGCAAAGCTACAGGTTGCTTCGACATAGCACCGTAGGTGACCATGTGCGAATCCGGCGCCAGGGTCTTTGCAAGTGCCGTAGCATTCTTCCCGCCAACGCAGTTCAATGCAAGACGAATTGGCTCCCGTCCACCGCGAGTAGCCTCCTTAATAATATCCCGGAAGGGTCCACTCAGCATCTCCTCCTCAGTGATAACAACAGTAGCACCGAGGTCCTTGAGCTCCTGTTTGAGCGCCTCTGTTTCCTCAGGCGTCTTTCGCTGACGAACAACATTGATCGTCTTAATTCCCCACTCACGGCCGAGCTGGATCGCGGCGCGTCCAACACCACTGTTAGCACCATTCTGGATCAACCATTCCTCGCCCGCACGCATCCAGTCCCACTCGCAGAAATCACGGACCATGCGGTATGCCGTCACCGGGTTGACACTGACGGTACCAACTTGCAGCGGCGTCAAGCCGTCCTTATTCTCGATGCGGATAAGTTGCGACTCATCCAGCTGGGCGTGTGTACGCCAAGTACCTTGGCCAGTCTTCTTCATAATTACCCAGTCGCCCTTGGACAAATTCTTGACACCGGCGCCGGTTGAGATCACCTCAAAGGCGCCTTCGTTACCGCCGACGGCGGTCGGCTCGGCTGTGCCGAGAGCCGATGTGAACGGAGGTTTGCTGGGGTATACACCTTGGATCTGGTTGACATCGGCCGGGTTCATAGGAGTTGCAAGGAGGCGGAGATTCACTTGGGTGCCGTGCGGGGCGGAGATGGAATGCTTGTGTAGGCTAAAGCAAAGGGTCAGTTGTCTCTGATCGCCGGTAGGGTAATTTTAGCTAAGAGAAATAACTACCTGATGACATCTTTAGGCTCGCCATATTTGGAGTATACCAGCGCCTTGGACTGCGTATAGCCATACACGGAAATGGTCCTTCGGCCTTGCACGGGGAGAGTGGAGCTAGCGCATTGAGCTTTGCTCGCGAGGCTCGCGGCTCTGGTTAAGCCAGATTGTCGGGCAGTCGCTCGAAGAATACTTCGCGACAACATGGTCGGATATGCTGGGGAAGGATGAAGGGGGAAGGTATGTGAAAAGTTGCGAGAAAGGATGAAAGTGGAGATGACGTCTTCAAATGTTGCTCGGTGATTTGACTCGGGCCGAAGGAGCTCGATTTACTTGTACGCAACTTGGAACTTCAAACTTGTTTTTTTTTGCAATGGATCTCATGGCAAAGTTAAGTGAGAATATTTGGACTTTCAAAATTGCTTTTGATTGTTTTATTACTGAGTATTCCATGCGTGCATTGTGCGTACATTACTTACAACTGTTGGGTTCTTAGTGGGATATCGGTTATATGCTACTCCGCTACGAAGTATATAACTGTGTATGCTCTTCCTAAATACCTACTACCGAGGTCCGTACTATGGCAGATAATGTTCAAATGTTAGTCAGTCAATACCAGTAGCACTGGGTATATATATATGATTTATGGAGTACTCTTTCTCAACACTTACTTCTTTTTTTTCAAGGCTTGTCTTGTCTAAATACACTCCATGTGTACATGTCATCTACATTCTGGACATCCAGAACAGGAACTCTGCTTATGTAGCGAGTTGAGAAACATAGTAATCGAAGATGAATTCATTTTGTTTTAGAAACAACAACATATATCCTATCAAAGACTTAGGTAAAGGAGCCCTTCCATTTAGCTACTATATATACTGTGCACTAATAGTACTGTAGTTCCCCGATATTTGTACTGCGGTAAGCGATAAGCGATAAGCACATATTGATCTTCTCCTCTTGCAAGTCTATTCGCTCTTGACCATACTTGCCTCTCCTCCCTCAATGTCCCTTCTACGCGAAGCGGAGAAGTGCATAGCCAATCAACATGCTCATGGCCTCAACGCCTTCATAACACCATTACCGCGCGCGGGACAATGGCTGGATCGCGTGAAGGAGGCAGACCGGCGTCGCGAGCAAGGTACGTCAATACATGCAAAGCCGATCTAAATCCACAAGAGCTCACACTGATAATCCTGATAGGTAAACCCAGATCCATCCTTGATGGTCGTCTGATAGCGATCAAAGATAATATATGCACACGTGAACTCCCGACCACCTGCGCCTCTGGCATTCTAGACAGGTTCGCTAGCCCATTCAACGCGACCGTTGTTGATCAATTGGAGGATGCCGGAGCTATCGTGGCTGGAAAGACCAACCTAGATGAGTTTGGGATGGGATCACACTCAACCAACTCGCGCTTTGGGCTGGTTAAGAACCCACGGCGTGACAAGGATGGTCAAGATCTTTCTGCCGGCGGGAGTTCAGGTGGGAGCGCAGCGGCGGTTGCGGCCGATCAATGCTATGTGTACGTGTTCTGGATATTTCTCTAGATTTAATGCATACATGCTAACTGGGATCTTGGGCACACAGCGCGCTTGGAACAGATACTGGAGGCTCTGTCAGACTTCCAGCGGCATACACCGGAACAGTTGGGTTTAAGCCATCGTATGGTCTGATCTCCCGGTGGGGTGTCGTCGCCTATGCCAACTCTTTGGACACTGTTGGGGTGCTGGGGAAGAACACTTCTAATGTTCGAGATGTATTCTGTGAGTACATCTTCTTTCGTTTGATTAGAAAAAGTCATATCAAGCTAATACTTCCATAGCCATCCTTAATTCTTATGATGAACGTGATCCGACTAGCGTTTCCACACTCTCAAGATCGCGCATCACCTCACACTACCAAACACCACGGCTTTCATCTCGATTGACTTCCACTCCCCTCCGAATCGGAGTGCCGTTGGAATATAACATTTTAGAACTAGCCCCGTCAGTGCGGCAAGCCTGGCTGATGTCCCTGGCACATTTGCAAGAACAAGGCCATACAATCCACCCCGTTTCTTTACCAGCCACTAAACATGCGCTGTCCGCATATTACGTTCTTGCCCCAGCCGAGGCGTCCTCGAACCTGGCCAAATATGACGGCGTGCGTTACGGCACTCGTGATAATGGGCCAGACAATGAGGGATCCTCTGAAAGCTACCTTTACTCAAATACGCGTGGACATGGATTTGGGCCAGAGGTGCAGCGTCGGATCCTTCTAGGAACTTTCAGTCTGAGCGCCGATGCCATGGACAATTATTTCATCCAGGCGCAACGAGTACGCCGACTGGTCCAACAAGATTTTGATTCTGTATTCAAGGCCAACAATCCCTTTGCTACCACTAATGATCTGGGTGCAGGCCATCCCGAATCAGATGATAAAGTGGATGTTCTCGTGTGTCCTACAGCACCATCCCCTCCACCCCGGATTTCGGATATCACAGGTACCTCTGCTGGCTCAGCGCCTTTGAATGCCTATGTCAATGACGTGTTTACTGTCCCCGCCAGCCTGGCAGGTCTGCCTGCTATCTCGGTCCCAGTCACTGTGACTGGTTCCAACGAGCACTCCGACATGGACGAGGTGACTGGCATTCAAGTGGTAGGTCAGTACGGAGATGATGAGCTGGTGATGAAAGTTGGAGAATTACTCGAAGGTCGCCGGTTTGCGGGCTCCTCATAGCCGAGTGCTGTATTTGTGTATCATAAATAGTAGATGGAGGAAACAAAATATACCCACTGTACGTGCATTATGTATTATTGAAATTTCCAGGGCTTCCAGTTGGTATCGATAGAATTTGATTAAAATTTGCCGGACGCCTTGCCATGCTGCTTCAGATATACATAGCTCATTTACTATATCGAGTCATAGATCAATCACTCGATTTGCGGCACCCCATTCTTTCGTTCTCGTTTCAGGTCATCTCCACGTCCTCATCATCTGGACGTACAGGAATTTCTACGGTAATCCTTGGCGTGCCGACTGTCCCATTTGTGCCAGGGGTACCGACGCTTATCGAATCATCCGCAATCGAGTTCCCAATATCGTCCCCATTGACGGTCAGAATTGCATGATGACCATTCATAGCCGAGTCAGATCCCGCAGCACCAGCAGTTGATCCAGGAGTAGCAACAGAATTTTCCAGGTCAAGCGCAGCACCGACGCCGCCTTTCAATACCTCTGAGCCTCTGATAGCACCAGATGCGGCATCCAGCTCTTCGGTATTATTATCGCCGATAACGTCGCCGTCGACACCGCCCCAAGTGAACATTGCTTCAATCTCGTCCACGATATCGGCGACTACATCTTCGACAATCTGCTCATTGAACCGATCCCCAATGGCCCGAATGGGTTCTCCAGCCTCGGTTTGCTCGGGTGGACCAACCCACCACGGACCCTCGAACCGACATTCAACAGCACCACCACCATAGCAACTAACAGCCGGGTAGTAGCCAATCATGCCGTCATCGGCATTCTCACGCTCGCCAATTCCAACATTGCTTGTACTAGCCAGGCGGCTTGCTGGGGGAAGAAAGGCGTACAGTTCTTTGAAAGGGGAGCCTATCTTCACGCCGTTCTTGAAAATGGTGATGCTGGATCCGGGTAAAGTACGAAGCGATGCATCTTCGCTGTTGTATGGTGAAGGGGGTCCGAAAGTTGGCGTTTCTTTCAAGTTGAAGGCGTAGTCACGAAGGTGTTTCGTGGAAAAGACGTTGGATTGCTGCCAACAGAAATCGGATTTGTAGTGGAAAGGTATGCGATCTCGAATGATGTTTGTAGCAGTCGGAGGTTGTGGTGTAGGGCCCGAGCCATCGCCATCCACGGCGGGGTCATAGGTACCTTCGACGACCTTTTTGTGTAGAGATAATGGAGGAAGGTTAATAAGCATGCCGATAACATCGCCTTCATTAATAGCCTCGCCCTTTGGGAAAAACGACTCGCAGCGCATGCGGTTGACGACTTCGCCGTTCACATCACGAATGCCGTAGCCATAGCAATCCACTCCAACATTAGCATCGAGGTCAGCATCGCGCCGTGCAAATCCTAACCGGACGTGACCACGAGACTCGGAACCAGGAGGACCGTTCACAACACCACTGATGACCCGAGCCTCGTAGTATAATGAGCCTTCCCGAGCACATACATTCGCCCGTGCTGTGTGCCACGCATCGCTAGTGGTCACCGCCCTAGCGTCTTGTGAGAAGAATATGGCAGCAGGCGAATCCTCGAAGCTGAAACGGGCATGATATGGTTGAACGTCAGTCTGACGGTATTTGATATGAGGGAATCCCGCATCAGCAATGGCGTAGCTATAGCGAAACCCATTCTTATTTGTAAGTTTATCGACCACTTCGTAGAAATTCCAGCTGTCGCCAATCACGTCGGATTTTTTTCTAGCCACTTGATTGAATTGTCGCAGTGGGGGTGGATAATGATCTGATGAACGAGGTTCGGCGAGAAGCAATGGACGGAGAATTTGGAGATTTGAGCTAGGTCGAGCTATGCTTGTTGCCGTGGCACGTTTCTTGGGAGGGGGTGCGCTTTCGACATCCAGACCCTTGGCTTCACGTTTCTTGCGGCTGTCACGCTTATTCCGCTTTGCGCGCGCACTATCTCCCTGGACTGAGGCGTTGCTAGCTGGTGCAGGGGAGGATCGTGGGTTCAAATCGGAAAATGTACCATTGAGAAGAGGCCCGTTGCCCGGGGGTATGATAGGAGAGTTGATGTTGGAAGAGGGAGCAGATGATCCTGGAGCTTGAACGGACGCCATGATAAGTTGAGTTTAAGTTTCCGCAGGAAAAGGAAAAGCGCCCTGGCCGTTGTTTAGTCGTCGGGTCAATGGGAATAGCTTGTCCGTGTGAGGTTCTTGGACTGCTAGACTTTTAGGAGCAAAAAGAATATTGTCAGCAGATATTGGGGAGAAAATACTGGCCAGCGCCAAAGGAGCTGCAGAAGAGTCAATCTCACATGAGAATTGAGTCGCTCGTCACAAAGGAGGAAAGGTTCTATACCACGGTCCCCGTTTTGATGTTTCGTGTAGTATCTGATTACAGCACTGGAAGGAGTTGCGGAAAATCGTAAGAAGATAAACCGAGTATGAAAAGAGTGAAGGTTCCTAGTAGTCGAATAAAAGAGACAACCAGAACCACGCCCTTCAGTTCTAGCCTCAATTGGTTCAAAGTAGAAGAGAAAGCTCGTCTTTGCGAACGCGCCGTTCAAATGATTAAGAATCGAGGCTAAACCCAATTAGGCAAGAAGATACCAAGGTGGGCGCTATCAAAAAGCGGTAAGTGATACTCCGCCCGGCAGAAGAAAAAAAATATCACAAATTAACCCACATTCAACAACTCAGCAGGACTTCAGGTTACCTCTTTCCCTCTTTGGTTTGAGATTACAGAAATCACCAGACAGTCTCACCATGCCCAAGGCAAACACTTCCCGTGCCGCTGCGGCCCGCCGCCATAACCCTCTGGCCGATGATATTTCGGCCGCGGGGCACTTGCGCACCCAGTCCAGCAAGAAGAGCAAGCGCCAATCCCAAGATGAGGAAGGACAGGATGGACAGCGTTTTATTGATGCAAAGATGTCCCGCAAGATTTTGCAGATTGGACAAGAGTTGGCCGATGAGGATGCCGCCGAACACAAACTCGCTATGGGCGCTATGGAGCCGAAATCCAACGCCGCCTTTGAATTCGACACTCGGTTTGAGGAGGAAGCATTGTCCGACGACGACGAGAACTTCCAGAATGACGAATGGGTGGATGATGAGGTTGAGGATGTGGTAAGAGCTTCTACAGAATGCTCTCGCAAGCTTTGGGTTCACGATTGCTAATATAATAAGCAGGAGGTTAACCCGCAGGATCTTGAAATGTTCAACAGCTTCATGCCCGGTCACGAAGATGATCCTATTTTCAACCCTCGTGAGCCCGGCTCCTCAGGCCAAACGACAAACCTTGCCGATTTGATCTTGGAGAAGATTGCCGAACATGAGGCCAGGCAAGCGGGAGAGACTGTTGGTGGCCCGCACATTCAGGGTGGTGGTGCAGCTGAGGACGCTGTCCAGATTCCAGCAAAGGCTATTGAAGTCTTCGAGAAGTATGTGACTCTTCTGAATCCTTTCCCAAATGCATCCGCACTAACCAAGCTGTAGGGTTGGTACGATCCTCTCGCGCTACAAATCTGGCCCGCTGCCGAAACCGTTCAAAATTCTTCCCTCCGTGCCTAACTGGCCGACCTTGCTCGATATCACTCAACCCGAGAGGTGGACTGCCAACGCTGTGTTTGCAGGCACTCGTATTTTCATCTCCTCTAAGCCTCACGTGGCCCAAGAGTTCATCAACACTGTGCTACTAGACCGTGTCCGTGAGGAAATCCACGAGACCAAGAAACTTAATGTCCACACCTACAATGCCATGCGCAAGGCTCTCTACAAGCCCGCATGCTTTTTCAAGGGACTGCTCTTCCCACTCGTCGCCAGTGGCACATGTACTTTGCGCGAGGCCCACATTGTCTCTTCAGTGATTTCCCGTGTGTCCATCCCGGTGCTGCATTCCGCTGCTGCTCTCCTCCGCATGTGTGATCTGGCTGCGGAACAATCCCTCCACTCTTTGGAAAGCACTGGCTCTGTGAACACCTTCATCCGGGTCTTTTTGGAGAAGAAATACGCTCTGCCTTACAAGGTGATTGATGCTCTTGTCTTCCACTTTATGCGATTCCGTGCGGCTGAGGGCTCTGCGGAGGCTTTGATGGAAAGTGGCTCTAAGGGCTACAAGCTTCCGGTGTTGTGGCACCAGTCTCTGTTGGTGTTTGCCCAGCGTTACCGCAATGATATCACTGAGGACCAACGTGAGGCTCTGTTGGATCTCTTGTTAGTTCGTGGACACAAGGATATTGGACCAGAGGTTCGACGAGAATTGCTAGCTGGCCGTGGTCGTGGAGTGGTTGTTCCGGATCCCGAGAGACAGAATGCTCTTGATGCCGGAGATGATACAATGGATGTGACCATGTAGATTGTGTTGATTGATCATTTTTCTTTATCCTTTTCCTCTTTTTGTCACCCCTTCCTCCCCTGCATATACCACCGACGAACTTGGTCATGAGCACGTACTTGATGGGATGGCGTTTTGTGTCTGTGGTTTTTCCTTTGCACATGTGGGATTGCATATATTCCCCTGGTTTCCTTTTTTCAAGATAGTTAGATCTATAGTTGATATCTCTATAGAACTGAAAAGTATTTTATTTCACTTCCCTATTTCTCTATTTTCCTTTATTTACATATCTCTCAATTGCGACCTGAAGCTCGCGTATTCAAATGTTATGTGCTCAATTTGCTATGCATACTATCAGTTAAGACCAATTATTGATCTTTGTTTATGTACTACTAGCAGTATATACTAGTATATATGAGCTAATTTTAAGCATTCACCTTAGAAGTATATGATCTCTTTCTTGATGTCACATTCATAAGATACAAAGTGTATCTAACTTATACAATACACATAAGAGCACAAATGAGGAGATTGTGAAATTCGGAACCTGGAATACTCTAAGGCTGATATCCATAAACTGTATGCATCCGATGTTATAGTAGGCAATCTTGACATGATGTGGAAACCAGATTCATGTCGACTTCGAAAGTTGTTCAGGTTTCTTCCAATCTTCAAATACTCAAGTCCATTTCTTCTCAAAAAGTTGATTCTGGCTCATCCATCAACTTACATTTCACTTATAGTTCCTTCTCACGCCATACCAACCTTTCCTATTTCCCACTCGAGCTATATCGAAATTCCTCCTCCCCAACCTTTCGTCCTCAAGTGAATCAATCACAGTATACTTTTCCTCTATTCAAAGTAAGTTAATTCTATTTCACTCTTAATACTCAATACTCCGAACGTCCGGGAAAATATTTATGTCCGTTTCCGAAATTCCTCTTTCTAAACTTCACATCCTCGACACGCATTCCACCCTTTTCACGCCGACGTCGTGCAAATCTCAACAACATCAAGCTTTTCTTTAACTCGCCAGGGTGCGACAGACTCGCCGGTATCAAGCTAATATATCCCACTCTACAGTTCCACGAGAGGTGAACAAGACTTCGCCATGCCGCCCAAGAAAAGCGACCCAGCGACCCCCGAGAAGAACAGTGAAGCGCCGCTGCCAAAGACGGCCGACGAAGCACTCCAGGGCCTGGCACCTACCCAGTCTCGCATCCTGCTGCTAGCCTACCTCTGCTGTGCCGATGATTACCAGCGAGTAAATATATAGCCCCATTTCCTACCTTTGATACTGAATCAAAGCTAACATTGTATATCAGCCCGATTTTGAGCAGCTGGGTGCGACGGCTGGATACCAGGCCAGCACTGCGCGAGTGACCTTTAACCTCGCACTGCGCAACCTGAAGAAATACAAAGCTGATGACCAAGTCGGTGGAGATGCGGCTACCACTGACGCTGGCGCTACCACTATGCCTGCCGCCGAAGGAAGCTCTGCTGCTACCCCTGGCTCTAAGCCCTCGAAGAAGCCAGCCAGAACTCCCACCAAGAAGTCCACCAAAGATGGTGCCAAGGCCAATGGATCTGTGAAGGTTCCTCGCAAGCGTAAGCGTGTCGACCAGGACAACGAGGAAAACCCGGTCCTTGATCCCCGACCTCAGGGATTCCAAGTTTTGGAGTATGCTGAAGATGTCGATGCCGGGGAGAATGAGAAGCAGAGCGTCGTTGGCATTGAAGACGATCTCTCCAAGGTCAATGTCAAAAAGGAGACCAGCGGCGACGAGGTCTAAATTGCGAGGTGAATGAGAATATCTGAAGTGGGTTATTTCCGGTGGTTATCTCCGATGGTCTTTTCTCCCCAATCTTCAGATTCAATGGGTGTTTGTTGTCACCTTGTTTCGGATTCTACTATTTGCCGTCCTTTCTTTGTTACCCTAATACCTTTTAGCATGTTTTTGAAAGGGCGTGATTTTTTTTGCTTTTTCTGCTCACTTGTTTCGCCTAGTGGATTTTAGAATCTGCGATGCGTAATGCAAAAGGGAATGTGAATGAAAACAATTCCCGCTTCTGACTTTATGAGAACCATAACCAGCTTTAGTTGACCCATTTATTGTGTAATTGATCACAAACACCTAGAAATACTAGTTACCACTAGAACTCCAATCAACTGCAGCCTTCTGTCGGATAACTGATATACCAATAATTCGATTCCTTATAAGGCTTCAATCCTAGACCAATCCTTTTTGCATTGATTCGCCGTTGCAGAATACCAAGTGCATTCAAATCAAAATCATGCACGCCTTTAATGGCTCTGCGTTCAAGAAGAGGACCAAAAGGACCACGTGTAGGTCGCCTGTCGGCTAAATGAGAGCTTGACCCTTTCAATGTGTATCCACAGTCTTCGATGCCGAAATCGAGAAGAGAAGGCAACTTGCACATTTCCAGTAGTAATTTTTGCCATGTCCCAGACTTCAATTCTAGCGTGAAGAAATCGATGTACTGTAATTTATGCGCAGACTGGTTGATGAGTGCAAGGAGGGTCTCATATGAAACAGAAACCCCTATCAGACAGAGACACTGCAGACAAAGGGAAGAAGGAAAGGGGAGAAAGTCAATGTCCAGAATATCTTTGTAAACAACCAAATCGAGTGATTCAAGATTCGATGCAAGCTCAACGACATTGAACAAACATGAAGCATGGGCTTTATTGGGAAAAGCAGCATGTTCTGGCAAAATTGCAACGCGCTTTTTTCTCCCGCGCTTCACATTCGTAAATTCTCTGACACGCAATCTCAAGTGTCGAAGACGTTGCATGACATCTTTGATGGGGATCTGCAAAGAATCATGTCGGCTTGGAAAGAAACGTCCGAAGTCGTGGGGGATTGAAAATGTAACATCAAGTTCTCTTAGACTTGGTAGGGGCACGTAACGCAATATGGAAACGACCGTGTCCATGTAGAGGTTTCTCATGTCTTGGGGTAACGACAAGGCTGGTTCTCTGAATTCAAGGGCCCTAAGATTGGTGAATTTGAGCAAAAGAGGTAAACTGAATTCAGCTAGGTCTTTTACATATAGGGACTCCATAGGCCGGGCGATAGACCTAAGATAGTTGAACCTTTGAAAGCCAAAATCAATTCGATAAACATGGGTAGCATAGTGGCTTTTTGATAAATTGATAAGGCGTTCCAGAGGCGAAATTCCTGAGCTATCGTTCACGGACTGGGCGTTGATATGCCGGAACAGCCAAGGTGACGCGCTGCGGCAGAAGCTCCAGTTGACAAGGCGTAGTGTGGCTAATCTTTTCCGAGTTTCGCTACGAGGGATTGAGAGATGTCTAGTAGCCTCTTCAGTGTGTAAGCTGGGCCTTAATTCGTTGCCAACGTGATGAACAATCTGTAAGAAGCGTTAAGCCTTTGTGAGCCTTTAGCAAAATTGAGTAGGATAAAAACCCGAGGCTTACATGATCGTAAATGTCCTGAGGGATTTGCATTTTTGTTCACCAAGTAAAAGACTTGATCTTGACCATAAGAAGAGAGAAGAGAAGAGAAGAGTAGAGTGGAGAGTCCAAGTTCACCAGGTGCGGGTATATAAGTATATGTAGATATAAATAATTGATAGTAGAACTACTAGTACCTTAATAGGGAGTTTAATAGAAACACATGTCATCCTCATGCTAACACATGCCCCGTGACCCACTAAGCCTAATCGGGATAGATTGATGCCTTAAATGGGCTTATTGTGCCTGAGGTAGCAATGCTTTTAGACCGCTTCCCTCACCGCCTTTTCATCCTTTTCATCGCTGTCTTACCACCCTAATACCTGAATCCTTAGGCTATAATATTAAAATGTAGTACTAAAAAAGTATATAAATCCTTACTTGATAATAGACTTAATAATAGACTTAAGGATGGACTTAAGAATGGACTTGAGAATAGACTTAAGAATAGACTTGAGAATGGACTTAAGAATGTACTTAATAATGGATTTGAGAATGGACTTAATAATAGACTTGATATTGGACTTGAAGACTTGAGAAACATGACTTTTTTTCTGCCGAGGTAGGGCTGGCAGAAAAAAATAGCTATCTCGATTAGTATGTAGGCTTAGTGGGTCACGGGGCATGTGTTAGCATGAGGATGACATGTGTTTCTATTAAACTCCCTTAATAGCTGAACGAAGTGAGGCTATCCAAGGGATTTGTGCACGTGACCCATACTTGCAGAAAAAAAACAGCGTCAGGTGACCACGCGTGGTACCACGTGATCCATACTCGGTTCATCCACCTTGAGGGCAGCCTTAGGCCCGCACTATGTATTTCGAGTATAAATGTGCTCCTCCCTGTACAGAATAGACTACAACGGTCGTACTAAATCTGTTTCACGCTAATCCGTACTTTTTATTAGCGTTGTTCGAGAACGTAGGAAATGAAATTTGCTGAAGAAATAGCGTTAAAAGTACTTTCGCGATACATAGGCACGCCATAGCGCACGTGCATGAGGGTGAGCGGACTCCGGTGGGGAGAGTTCACAATCTTTCCGAGAAGTGGGCTACTGATTGGAAACTCAGGGGAAAGACTCCCCTACAGAAGGTGATACATTGTACCTGAACTGTGGGGTTGATCGACTTTGCCACAGTCGATCAAGCTGATCATTGAAGGGGAGGGAAAGCACTGGATTTTATTGTACAATGCCAATTCAGTGCCATTTCAATGTAATGACTGATTTATGTATCACAGAGTACGGAGTACGGAGTATGATGAATCTGATGGGTGTATCCATTATGGTCCAGTTTCAGGTGTTCCATTGTTCAATGTTCCGAATCGTTCGATAAGTTTCTCGACCCCGCTAAGAAAGTACCAAGAGTTTACAACTTTTGCCGAGTCCCCCCCCCCCTTTTCACTGCATTCCAATCCTACTCACATGCACCAGGGGTTCAGGGGGAAGCGCTCGGAAGTTCTGGGATTGATTGCACTCGTACTCGTCTAATGTGGGACGGAGAATTACCAGGAAACTCCGACTAGGCCTCCTCGTTCCCGGGCCTTTTGGGGTCTTTTGCCCACACATTTCCACTTTTTCGAATTGTCTGGATGCACCCCTAGGGATCCACTTGATTGGCAAAGACACGAATGGCATGACGATATTCGCCGCACGTCGTAAGTAATCGCTGTGGGTGACAGCCTCGACGTACGATGATCATACAGGATGGGTCGTGTTACCAGCCTTTCCAGCCCCGAATCTGGGAACCTCTGCGTTGGCATTGAACATGATCCCACGCTATATGATTAGTATCAAAGGGGGGGCCTTGGGGGGCCTGTAATTTATTTTCTTTATTTCCTTCCTTTTTCTTGGTCATCAACGGGGACCAAGAAGGATCAATAGGGATGAATAGGGAGAGTAGGAGTACATGTATACCAATAGCCTAAAAGGAGTCAAGTGTAACAAGTTACTGTTAAATTGGCTATTCATAGAAAAGAGGGAAAAGTGGACTTGGAAACAAAGTGGGAATCCAGGGGCGCAGGGGTTGCATTACTTTGATTGGTGGATTGCCCAGATTACTGGTATTTGACGGGGATTTCACGTATCAGACATGTCACAGGCTGACGACGACATGATGGATAGTAGTAACTGAGGGGAGGAATGTACTGGTCCATGGTATTACCCCCGTATTCCTGTATTACCATCCCTTTTTTTGCCCTTGTTCTCCTTGTCCGACGGTAATTCCGGTAATTTCCCAGTGAAATGCAGGGCCACGCTGGCCTCTACTTAAATGTCCTGCTCCCACCCGCTTTCCCTCTCTTTTCCCAAGAACACCTGGCCTCTTGACGCTGACTCATTCAACCCTCCCGGATTCTGCTTCGGTGCCTATGATGACAACGTGGCCTTGAGTGTGTATACCATATGACCCTGACAGGGTCCTTTACCCACTCTTGATCCCCCATTATCATCACACGGCACCATTATACCATGAGCTACGATATGTCAGACAACACTATCAATCCGCTGGATTTGCCAGCATCTCCCTCGTCGGAGATGTTGACCGTCTCCCCCGCAGATACCTCATTAGATTCTCCAGAACCGGAAGATGATCTATTAGAGGATGGAGAGAAGAAGCCGACAAAGAAGAGAAAGTCCTGGGGCCAGGAACTTCCAGTCCCAAAGACCAACCTCCCTCCACGGTATGTACCCACATTAATATGAGATATATGAATTATATACATAAAAAAAGTGGAGATGATTTCAGAGGCTAATATACTTCCTCTCTCTCAGAAAACGTGCCAAGACAGACGATGAGAAAGAACAACGACGCATCGAACGAGTTCTCCGGAATCGCGCCGCAGCACAAACGTCGCGCGAGCGCAAGAGACTCGAGATGGAGAAGTTGGAGACCGAGAAGATCAACATGGAACAACAAAACCAGTTCCTACTTCAACGGTTAACACAGATGGAGGTGGAGAACAACCGCTTGTCACAACAAGTGGCTCAATTGTCCGCCGAAGTCCGTGGCTCTCGTAGCACCACCCCCAAGGCTGGCTCCCCAGTCCTTGAATCCCCCACACTCACACCGACCTTGTTCAAGCAAGAAAGGGAAGAGCTCAACATGGAGCGCATTCCTTTCCCTACCCCTTCCACCGAATACTCCCCCACCCTCAAGCCTTCCACTCTAGCTGAGGCCTCCGACGCGACACAACATCCTGCAGAGGTGTTGTGTGACCTGCAGTGTCCGTCGCTGGCCTCGAAGGAGCTGGAAGTGCGCTCCCTCTCTTCGACCTCTCCAATGTCGAACCTACAGCTGCAAATGACGCTGCAGCTCCTCTTTCTGACGATGACTTCCGTCGCCTATTCCACGGTGACTCACCCTCTGAGTCAAATCCTTCATTCCCTGAAGACGGGTTTGCCTTTGGCGTTCTCGACGGAGGAGATCTTTCAGCATTTCCCTTTGATTCTTTGGTTGATTTCGACCCCGAGTCTGTCGCCCTCGAAGGTGTCGACCCGACCGGTCTTTCGGATGAAACTTCTCACCAGACTACTGGCTTGCAGCCCAGCCTTGGCGCGTCCACTTCGCGATGCGACGGGCAGAGCATTGCAGCTAGCGGTTAGTGAGCAGTTTTCCCCGCAGATCAGGTTGGCCGACGCCCCGGAGGGTCGACCGAGATGGGAGTCGTTGTTGACCATGGTCTGGGCAATCGATCGTCTCAACCAGTCAGAACAACCCCGGCGGGCTATTATGAAATCCGGTCGGCGACGCAATTACGGAAAGAGAATCAATCAACGGAGTTCACGAGGAGTTCTTGGAGTTCAATCATTAGCAAGACGTTGATTTAAAGGAAAACAACGATCTTCTGCTTTAGGGAAAGGGGCAAACCATTTATGAGGGCGAGGGTCTGTTTTTTTGAATCCTTTTTCATTTGATGTTTATTACATCTTTTTTTTTTGTATACTAGTGCCTAACAGAACCCCCAAAGCCTGAAAATTGACTGGCTCTTTCATCTATGATACTTGTCTTCAAATGTTCACTTGTAGATTTTGTGTGTAGAAAAACACGCATTGAATATATGTAGTAAATGTTCGCTGTGTACGGAACAAGCGGCAATTTATCCTCGCTGCCTAAGAAGAGCCTACGTACCATGAATCTCGAACAATCAACTGGACTAGCGGGGGAATACTTGTAAAATAAGATGAAAATTTTCAATTCTTAAGCCGATTTGAGTCTGGTTTCGATGGTAGAATAGAAGCGACGCTAACAGCCACTTTGAATGCGGTCAGTGACGTTTGCCACGCGCCTAATTCTCCGCCCCTCCAACTCACTTGTCCAGTTTCTCCAGATCCCCAGCACAACCCCATCTCTCCTGTATTGAATTTATTCTTGCGTTTCTTGCAATCTCCAACCTCCACATCCAGACACCATGGTTCGCAAGGACCCCATCTTCGAAGCCCGCACAAATGTCAAGGTGAGTCTCTAGGCAGGACACCCCCGCATCACTCCGCCTCCCTCACGCATAGAGATCGCCCTGAACCACCACACTCCTAGTACTACAGTAAACATAGTCTAACAACAAATAACTACAACAGCTCCACTCCAACCGCCTAAAGAAAGAGGCGGTCCGCGCCGAAGCAACGTACAAATCAGAGAAAGCCAAAGCGGACAAAGCGATGAAGAACCGCGAATTCCAAATCGCGCGCATCCACGCCGGCTCGGCCGTGCGTGAAAAACGACGCCAAGTGACGCTGAAATCCGAGGCCGCACGGGCCGACGTGATCATCAACGAACTCAAGGCGGCGCAGAGCACGCGGGATACATCACGGACGCTGGCGATGGCGTCGCGGGGCCTGGACGCGGCGTCGAAGAGCGTGAACCTGGAGCATTTGGTGGCGCATGCGAACAATTTCCTGGCGCGGTCGGAGGACTTTAAGATTGCGAGTAGTGCGATTGAGGATGTGGCGCAGGGGGTGTCGATGCAGGAGTATGGGGCTGAGGGGGAGTCGGAGGTGGATCGGATGATGGAGCAGTTGGCGGATGATGCGGGTGTTGATATGCGGCGGGCGTTGGATGCGGATAAGGCGCCGGAGGCGGAGGTTAAGGAGCAGCAGCAACAGCCTGCTGAGGTTGAGGATGGATTGGAATCGAGATTGCGGGCTTTGCGGGCTTTGACTTGATGTTTCTCTTTCTTTTCTTATTCTTTTTTTTTTTTTCTATACATGGTTTTATATACCCTGCTCCCTCTCTGCCGTCATCCTCTGTGTCGCTCTTTCGTTCGCTCTCGTTCTCTCCCTTCCAAATACTGGACTTGTTTCTTGTTTAGTTTGCGTGCATCTGTTTTCTACGCATGTTTGGGATAGAAGCCTACATTGTGAAAGTGGCGTTTTTCTCTCTCTCTCTCTCTCTCTCTCGCTGTAATTCTTATTACGAAATTATGGACTTTTGCCTCTCTGGTTTGTTTTTAGAAGTACATATATGCATATACTAAATGTCCTCGTTCTAATGCAACCTATTCCGTACATAAGATCTCGAGTCCCGTGATTGGTGGAGATGCATCGGCTACAAACACCACAGAGAGGAGGCTCTGCCAAGAGGGTCCAAGGGTCTTTGGCACATGCAGCGACTTTGCTATTCTTTTCTTTTCTCTTTTCTCTTTTCTTTTTTCTTCTTCTTTTCTATTCGATTGCAAGCAAAGATTAACCTAAGTAAAGGAACAAAAACACAGCAAATATCTTATCTTTACTGCATCCTTTGGTTTTTATCTCTTGATTTTATTTTCTAAACGAAGTTTTTTTTTTCATATTCGATTCGGGCGTCAGGGCCGAGACTAGAGGAAAAACCAAGAAGAAAAAGCCCAAATTAGACCCTAAACTAGACCTAACTGGATCTAGAGCCAAACTACATTAGACACTAACGCTTCAACTCCCAAGACCCTGATTTCCACTTCGCCCAATTTCCCTTATACGAACCAATCGCGTCTTCTTTCCAACGCCTCATGACCTATCTTTTCTATCTTTTCTCGCAGGCGAACATGCATCCTAACCCCAAATTAGTATAACGTAGAATGAGGCTTTGTTCGCCCCCAAATGTAGAATCCCTTTAGCTCTTTAGCGCCATCTTATGCTCCTCATAAGCCCATGGGCGCCTGCAGGGTCTTCGGCTTTTTCTTTTCTCTTTTTTTCTGCAGGGGAGAAAGGGCTTTTTTTTTCGTGACCCATCTGATCTATATAATTTTATAAGGACCATTCCATACCAGAATGGCGCCTTCACGCTCGTTCTCTTATTTTCTGTCGCTCGTTTTGACTCTCAACTTTCTTCCATTCGTTCTTGCAAGCCCGTGGATCGTCACCGAAGACTATGAACAGGTTATAGTAACCGAATATGCCTATGGCGATTACTATGAAACCGAAACCCCCACTTTGACTACCTCGATCGAAGAAATCAACCCGACGGTGACTCCGCTGCCCGAGGCTCTCTCAACAATCACCTCCATTGACGACTACTCGTCTCTTACCATCATCCAAAAATTATACCCCACCAGCGTGGGCACACCGGCTCCTTACTATTACGATTACTATGACGATGACGACCATATCACCGTCTACGTGGTGAACATCACCTACTCCGCCGCCACAGCATGCTCAACGCAATGGACCTCCACGACCCCAGTAACCGTGAACCCACCCTACGCCATCGAGAACCTGCTCCCCACAACCGCCATGTCGACATCCCTCTACGTCGACAACTCAGAGCCCTTCAGCCCAACAACCTACACATACGACTACGTCTGGATCGAACCAACCCAGATCCCATCCTCATCCATGAGCTACCTCAGCTCACTCTACGCCCCAAGCACAATGTACGACTCCAGCTGCTACTCCTACGGCAGCTCCAGCTCTAGCTCCAGCTCCAGCTCCGACTGCGAATACTGCGACGAAGACGACTACGACGGAAGCTGGTTCTTCGACTCCTACTGGATGGGAATCTCACCGTTCGCCCTAACCATGATCCTCCTCTTCGGCTGGATCGGCATCTTCCTAATCGCCGGTCTAGTCGAAGCCTGGGTCCGTTTCCGCCGCCTGATGCTAGGCTGGCAGACTCGCCGCGGCCTCCCCCTCTGCTGGGCCTTCATGCTCCTCCCCCTCTCGCTGCTCCTGATCATCGGGTTCCGGAAGGGCTACCGAGCCCGCAGCGAGACGGACGCGGTCGCACTCCGCGAGCAATGGGATGGATTGGGCTTCTGGAAGAAGCTGAAGCTCTTCTTTGTCTGGGGATTCCGCTTCAAGTACCCGCCCATGCTGGGTGAGGCGCCGCCCCGTGTGAAGCCTAGCAAGCAGCCTGGTGCTACGACCAAGCAGCCTCAGACATCGTTGTTGAACACGGAGCAGCCTATGGCGACTGGCGCTGTTGCTGCTTCTGGTGACCAGAGGGGGTTGTCTGCAGATGCTGCGGATCCGGAGATGGGCGAGGTTGAGAATCACTCGGGCCGGTCGTCGGGTCAGGGTGAGCACCCTCCCGCTGAGGCTTCGGGTGCATTGGATGGACATCGTGGCGGGGAGACTGGCCGCGCTGAGTAGATGTAATGATTGTTCATGTATAGATTGAACTCTTCAAATGTTGTTTTTTAATAATGGGACGTGGGAAAAAGTACAATACTGGACTCTAATGGAAGGAGTCGATATTTGGTATATGTGATGGCCATCTTGATCTTGATACGTTCGTTTGTTCAAGGCTTAGCTGCCTCTCCGCCAGATTGGATACAATTAATATAATAATTTCTTGCCCCCTGTTGAATGCCTTCCAAATTTTCTGATTTGATGTTGCCCAAGTAGCTACTCCTGGTACAATATTTACAAGGATAGATAGATGAGATGACCTTGGATTTAACGGCTTGAGTTTGATTGTTAAAGCAGACAGAAAGAGACTCGGAGATGGCCACAAGTCTTTCCAAAAAGTGCAAGGAAGAAAAAAAGCTCACAACTTCAATCAAGCAAGTCAAAGAAAGCCTTTTCTTTGGTCAAATAAGAATGGGGACCAAAAAAAAAAAAAAACAAAAAGAAGAACCGAACGCGGGGGTCGAACCCGCAACCTTAAGATTAAGAGTCTTACGCTCTACCGATTGAGCTAGCCCGGCTTATGAAAAGAGGAGCCAACTGTGGCTACATAAGGCAAACCAGAATATTCCTACTCGTATCACCCGAATACCCGAAGCCCAGAGCACCGCAGCCACGCGTATACAACCACATACTCCCGCCACCTGGAGGCAAAACACCCATGGAGGCCGAGTCGGTGGGATCCACTCCTGGCCAACATGTAAAGCAGCCCGCATGCTTGAACTGCCGTCGCAGTAAGATCCGCTGTAACCGACCCGAGGGCCAGGATCGCTGCGAGAAATGCAGACAAACCGATCTCGACTGCATCGTGCCAAGTCATCATCTCGGTCGTCAAAAGGGCGTAAAGAAGTAAGTTAAATACCCAAATACCAGAATCCGACCATACTGATCATCTCTTTACAGTAAGCGCAAGGGGTTGGAGAAAGCTATCCACCAGATTGAACAGGCCATAAAGAGGCCCAAGCTTGATGCGCCTGGCCCCGATGACGCGCACAAAGCTATATCGGACCTACAGGATCTTCTGAGTCGGGTCCAGCGCCAACTGACGAGCGAGTCAGATAGTTTCGCAGAAACACCGGAGCGCTCGCAGAACCTGCGGTCTCCGCACCGCACTGATGTAGATGAGAGCTTGGCTCTTGACGATGCAGAAAATCCACTGCAGCTGCTTGCGAGGGCGTCAGATCTACAGCTCTCGCCTACAGTGCTACGCCAGGAACTGAAGTCATTGCAACCGCCGCTAATAGCACAGTCGGCTTCATTACAACATGCTAGCTCGGCAAACTTCGGAGCGAAATCGTTCTTCGTCCCTGCGCGGGCGAACCTGGACATTGGACCTGAGCTAGATCCCGTTGATTTGGGGCTAGTCACATTTGACGAGTCGGAGTCTTTATTCTCTTTGTATGTTCATTTGGCAAGTCGAAGTTTTCGAATATATCTAACGTTACCAGCTTTTACCAACATCTTGCCCATACCCGATGGGGACTGGATCCCCAGGTACATACTGCAGTATTTGTGCGGTCTCAATCAGCCTTTTTGTTCACTTCCATATTGGCAGCCGCCGCGCTGTTTCTACCATCTGCCACAGCTTTATCAAAGCGGCTAGGGAGACACTGCAAATGGCTCGCCAAGCACGTCATGGCCGAGCGGCATAGATCGGTAGAGATCGTTCTAGCGTTCATGGTAAATGTGCCTTGGATGGCACCTGGGGAACGACTGGGTGATGATGATACGTGCTCATATATTGCGATGGCGCTTACCGTAGCGCTGGACCTATCACTGAACAAGATCGTCACCCCGTCCTCTAGCTTTGATCGAGACCTCTTGAGTCGACTCGCGAGAGCTGACTGCATTGATGCGAAGAGAGCGTTGCATATGGATGGATTTGATGACGTTGATCCTGACTCTGAATGGGGACTTCGACTACTTCGAAGGCGGGAGAGAACATGGATAGCATTGTTTGTCGTTGAACGAGGGTAAGGACTATTATTATTATTACCCTTCCATCTACCCGCATGGTCTAATCTTGTCGCAGTGTTTGTCTTGCCCGTGGTCGAAGCTACACAGTGCCTCCGACAGCACTCCTTGAAAATTGCGATACATGGCATCGTTCAGCTATTGCAGACCGACGAGATGGGCCCATGAACTCCATGGCAGTCTTGCGCAGAGATCTTGTATGTTCAGATGGGGAAAACTCAAGCACAAATGCTAATAATATGTAGGATGACTTATTTAGAAAAGTCAAGTCGAGCTGTGATGTATATCGAATGGTCGATACCGGATCTGAGGCTGCCCAATCGTAAGTCCCCAGTTCCCAAATGATACATACCATGTTACTAACATCAAGAACAAGAATTAAAATTACCATAGAGAATTTTTACGACAAGTGGTATAAGACCTGGGCAGTGGCGATTAGCGAAGGCGGAAGTAAGCACAAATATCCGATGCCGAAAATAGGGTCCCCCAAGCTCACAAACAGCAGCACGCTCCCTCCCACCATATGTTGAGATTCTAGTTACCCACACTCAGCTTTCCACATACGGAGGCGTCATCAATCATCCGACCGCGCCCCTCGAAGTCAAGCGGTTCTTCCGTGCAGCCGGTCTCTCAGCTGCCCTGAACGTTCTCCGAGCCGCCATTCAAGGCGAATCTCGACTCAAATCCATGCCCAACAACACCGTCATCATGATCTCCTTTGCCGCATGCTCTGCTCTAAGTCTCAGCGTTACGCCTGGCGACAGCCAATCCAGCCTAGCGCCTAGCGTGCGGACTCTCATTGAAGAAACGGCCGGTGTTCTGGAGCGAATCGGAGCCACGCCCAGCCATCGAAACGGCGCTTCTGTGTTGTACGGGCGCTTCTTGCGCGAGCTCATCCGACGCGGACCCAACATTTCTCAGGTACCATCGAGGCACGCAGATCATCAAGATCCTATGCTTCCGCCTCCGCTAGATCAAGGTCCTGCTCCTTTGCATATCCCCCAGCCTGCGCTACCAGGGGATCTGTGGAGTGAGCCGATGCAATTTTCAGCCATGTCAGACGATCAGATCATCGACGCGGTCAATCGGGCGGGCAGTGCTTTTGGGGCATCGATCCCTGACGTGCCTGTGGATGATATGTTGTGCTGGGATTGGCTTGATTTCGCGAATACCGATTTTGGATTATAGTTGATGCCGTTGTTTTCTAGTATATTTGAGTTCTCGTCTACTTTGTACATACATAATTTACGCATGCCCGATTAAACCCGATTCCTAACACTTAATTTTAAGATCAATGCAAATCACCCAACGAAGAGGATTTCATGTTGCCCAAGGCCCCAAGTGGATTGACCCTAAAAGAGTGGAGTAGACCTCACAGCCTTACAATAACGTCATGGTGGACCCTGACTTTAGGATGTTGAGACTGGCATCCTATTCAATGTTCAAAGAGATTCGCAACCCAAGCCAGTACTTATTTATAGCTCCCTCCACCGTGGACCCTCAAGTAATAGTACTTCAATGTTGGTACATACTCGATTCTTGTAGTCCCTCAGGCACATGTAAGTACTATCCACACCACCCGCTCCTTACTTTACTAACTCTGCGACCGACAGAAAATTCCAATCTAAGCGACCACAAAACCAATCAAACCCAGGCAGTGCATCCGGTATCACGAGAATCCAAAAATGGGCATCGACTCAACCATGCTAGCCCCCGGCCCAGCCGGTACTTCCATGATTGGGGAAAGCAGCATCGACGCCGCGGCCCGCCGAGCCCACGCACGCAAGCAACAAGAGGCCGAAAAAGAAAAGAGCTTCAAGGCAGAAGGAGGCGAGGATGCAGAGCCCGAGAAAACATCGACAGGTGCGACTGGAGGGACTAAAGATGCCGAGATTGAGACCGGGGCTGGTGACAATACCGGCGTTAGCAGGCAACACGAGAGCGGGATACGAAAGACGTGGGAACGAGTGCGAGGGAAGTTAGGACGATGATTCTTTTGGCTGTGAGTAAATGACAGGACGTGATTATTCATCATGGCGAGGAATGCTTGTTCTCATGTGCAGATATGATAGGTGCACTTCAATCTAATGCAGGAATGTCGGCTTATTCTTCATGCAGTGTTCGTGTTGAGCTTTTACAAGGGTAGGGGAATGTGCATCGGAGATCAGAAATAGAGACCGAGATGGCTTGTAAACAAAACCAAGCAAGACAAGCAAGACAAGCAAAACACAAGCAAAAGCCAAGTTTCCCCGTATCTTCACATAACAATCCGGGGGAAAAAGCGGGGGAGACCCTGAAGCTCGGACCCCAGATGTGGTCTCCGAGTCTCCGGTCATCATTTCCGCTTCTTTACTTTTCTCCCTTGCATCGATCGACATTCTAACAATCCTGCATATACCCCCGTTCAATCCATTGAGAAGAAGAACAAGAAATTGGCATCATATACACCATCATGGACCCAAAACCTGGGATCATGGAGCTGGAGGACCCGAAGCAGGGCGTGCTGAATCGATTCGGCGACCATGCGCACCAGGAAAAGCTGACCCGTCGGTTGCTGTTGAAGCTGGACTTTCGGTAAATATGTCCCCCCTCCTGAATTTCCCATCTCAACGCTATGATATAGCTATATGTACATCGTCACGAGATTCAAAGCTAACGCGATTGTCTACATAGAATCCTTCCCATGCTCTCGCTGCTTTTCCTTTGCTCGTTCCTCGATCGCACGAATGTCGGAAATGCAAAGATTCTTGGCTTGGAGAAAGACATTGGCATTACAGATCATCAATACGACATTGGATTGACCGTCTTTTATCTTTTCTATGTCTGCAGGTGAGATACAATGCCGCAGTCCATCACGAGCGATACCCTGACACGGATGGGCTGATTATCTTGATCCTAGTGAACTGCCGAGTAATCTTGTCATCAAGAAAGTGTCCCCGAAGATATGGCTACCACTCCTGACCATTGTGTGGGGGATCATCACAATGTGTTTGGGTTTCGTGCAGAACTATGGTGGATTCGTGGCGGTACGCGCCCTGTTGGGTGTTGCGGAAGGTGGATTGTTGCCGGGAATGGTGAGTATGATTGTTACAACGGTGAAAGAGCTTTGGCCTAATACTTGACTTGCAGGTGTTGTATTTGTCTTCATTCTACAGGCGCACGGACCTGGCCCTACGGATTGGTCTGTTCTATACCGCTGCCTCACTGTCGGGTGCTTTTGGAGGTGAGTAATGTAACCCAGGGAGCAAAAGAATAAGCGGTTGACTGAGTACTTTCCCCTAGGTCTCCTTGCCCGCGGACTCGCAGAGATTGCTACGCGAGGAGGGTTGGAAGGATGGAGGTGGATTTTCATTATCGAGGGCCTCTTGGTAAGTAAATAAAAACCCATAGTTGCATAACAAATCTCCTAACAAAACAGACATTTGTATGCGGCGTAATCAGTTATTTCGTTCTTCCAAACTCCCTGGAATCGGCATCCTTCTTGACGACCGAAGAACGGGAGTTTGGACACGAAAGGCTGATGTTGGATCATCCTGCGAATGTGGATGGGTATGTACTCGATATACTTGAAAGTTGGAAGGAATGAGAATTGCACTAATACAAATGATCACAGTCTGGCTGCCGAGGAACAATCATTCATGTGGTCTGAAGTGCGACGAGGAATTCTGTGTGTGCAACTGTGGCTGTCTGCCTCTGCATATTTCGCCATACTCTCTGGACTTTACTCCTTCGGTTTATTCGTAAGTTCAATTCCGTCCAAAGCAAGTTGAAATTACTGATTTCTCAGTTGCCAACAATCATCGAAAATCTCGGCATCGCCAAAAATGCCAATGACGTCCAGCTGTGGTCTGTCATTCCCTACGCAGTGGCAACAGTTGTTACAGGTAAGTGAACGTTTCGCAACCAAAAAAAACCCAAATCGCATGCTAACGAATTCAGTAATCGTGGCTTTTGTATCGGATCGTCTACACCTTCGAGGTGTGATTATGCTGTTCACTCTGCCTATCGCCATTATTGGCTATGCTGTCATTGCCAACGTTGACTCTCCACATATCCAATATGGCATGACATTCCTTATGGCGACAGGCCAATATGCTAGTGTCCCATGTATATTGGTGTGGATGTCAAACAACTCGGCAGGTCACTATAAAAGAGCAACCACGTCAGCTATGCAGCTAGCGATTGCAAACTGTGGAGGGTTTGTTGCAAGTGAGTGTCCAAGGCCATATCTCAAAGTCCATCTACTAACATCTAGCGCAGCTTTCAACTATCCCTCCAAGGATGGACCACAGTTCCACCGAGGACACACAATCATCCTTGGTTTACTCGTGTTTGCCTGGTTCATGTGAGTTGACAAGTGCCACTTATGCTTGAAAAGATTTTAACATTTCCAGGATTCTGTTCAATGTCCTCTACTGTGCCAAAGTTAACCGTGATAAGCGGAATGGCAAGTATGACCAATACACAGGGTACAACGACGACCGCAACCCCGAATTCAAGATGGTCTTGTAATTCTTGAAATATAATGAATCTATGGATATACATACTGAACATAATGCTCTGAGCCATTGAAGATAAAGAACAATAATATAATGTTGTAACATTTGAATATTGATTCTGCAAAGTACTACATGAAATCATCAATCAACTCAAGTTGAACGCAACCAGCCTGGAGAGCTCCAGTCTTCCATCGTCACCGCATACACATCATCCACGCTAAGAACATCCACACCTTCACGCACCAAAGCCCGCCAAACATAGTTCCTCAACCCAATAGGCCGACTCGGCGTACCCCAGTATCTAACTTTCAAGCCTCGCGCATGAGCCGCACTAACCTGACTCTGCAACCTCGCCAGCTGATCCTGCGTCATCCTATTAAGCGGAAGAGGCCCGATGGCCCTCCGAAAGTCGACAGAAGCATAATAACTGTTCTCACTATTGTAAACAAACTCATCCGACCCACCCTGAGCGAAATCAGATCCCTCAACACCGGCACCAAATTCAGAAAAATAAGTAACTTTATCCAATGGCGCATCATAGAAGATATCTCGATGATTCTCATTCTCCAGAATCCGGTGAAACGGCGCCTCGCCCGTAGCAACGATGGTAACAGGCCGAACAATCCTCTCGGAGCCATTAAAGAAGCTCAAGAACCCCGCTTCGCGCAGCGGTTTCAAATCCTGCATGAGTGCGTCCCAAATCCTCTCAGGATCGTCCTTAAAGTCGACGAGAATAGTCAAGGTCTGAGCGGGATCATTGCCGAACAAGCCGACAAGCTCATCTTCTCGTCTTCGTCTCGTTCTTCTTCCCTGTACAGACGCAGATCCCGGCGCAGAAGGAGATGCGTTAGATGTAGACGGGAGCGGGTTATTCTTCTCCAGAATCTGCAGCAATGGGTCTAGATAGAGACTTCGAAACGTATGTCCCTCCAGCAGTGTCGAGGACGTATGGCCGACACGAAGATCAGGGCCGTCCAGCCAGACATCCGCCTCCACGCTCGAACAGCCCGCCATCAGGGCGGAGAGCAGAGGGACGCGGTGCCAGTAGTCGTTATGTGAGTGGCAGGGTACATGGTTGATACCTTGTGTGAACCAGCTTGAGAAGTGGGAAGGTGGATGGCCGGCGACAAGGCCCATTCCCATGGCTATGTCGCGAGTCTCTGCAATGCAGGAGAGGACTCTGTCCCATGTTAAGGAGACAAGCGCCGTGATTGTGCTGTGTATTCAAGTTAGTTTTCGAATTGTGAAGGGGAGGTATGTATTAATTATTCCAATATTTGAGATTCCAAGAGAGAGTAGAAAGAAATAGGGACCAGAAGAGACGAAGAAAAACAAGACAACCCACATAATCCCAATCAGCATACAGAATGACCTCCGCACCCTGCGGCACGTTCTGGGCCGTTTGTAAGAAGCATCAGACGAGGAATTCAGCTTTATCAGGGGCAAAGATTCAATATCGGACTTCATTTTCATGATTGAAGGCTTGTTGGTTTGGAAAACATCTGAGTTGGGGTATTTGGGTAAAGGGAGTAGGTCTTCATGGTGTTCGGGGATGGAAGGAAGCGGAACCAATGTTGAGTATAGATGCATGACGACGACAACATGCAAACGCCACAAGACACATGCAAAGCTTGATCAACATAGACTTTGGGCTGATCTGGCGATCTTTAATATATTAATATATTTGATTTGCTCTAATGGCTGCCTAACTGAACTAGCGAAGAAAAAAAGCCCCAAAAAAGCGTCTGCCTAGTAAACGCGTCTAGCAATTGAGGATCTTTTACTAGTAGCACTGGATTAGGATCTTACCCCCGAGTCTCCGCTTCACGATGACGCGGATCCTCGGAGAAAATCTCCAGTCCAGGTTGAGTTATTGCGTTTATTCATCTTGTCAGTTCTTATTTTCTATAAGAGGTCTATCGGATCAATTGAGGCTCAGTCTGATCAATGCAAAATACCAAAGGCAACACTGGCAACCCCCCCCCCCTTTTCCCAAAAAAAACCAATCTTTTGAAATGGATACATGAGATCAACACTTTACAGACCTCCGCACAGTCTCTAAAAAACGCAAAGTGACCAGCAAAGGCCAACCTACGACTCCTCCTCATCATTCTCCCGTGCAGCCTGCTTGCGCTGCTCGGCCTCCTTACCAGCAAAGGTAAACAGCATACCGAGATCATACACAACCTTCAAGCAACCGGCTAGAATGAACGATACGCCGAACATGTTATTACGAGCCAAGATACCCGTGATGAGAGGTCCAAGACTCTGGGCAGTGGTTTTGACCACGTTGACGGCGCCCATGATAGCAGTCCGCTTATCAGACGGCAAGACCGCAGCGAGGAAGGCACTTCGAGGAGCGACATCCATGTTCTGGGAGCAGGCTCGCAAAACCAAGAAAGTGAGTGCCAGTGGGAGGTTGTTAGGGACAGAAATAAGGGCGAGACAGATGGTCGATGGGAGGTGAGTGAAGACCATTGTCTAGGGATTAGTTAGCATTGCACATACACAGGCATACGGATTCACGAAAACCGAAAGAAGTCATACCTTGACGTTGCCGATGCGCTTGGCGATTGAAGACGCGACGAGCATGGAGGCTGCGGCGATGCTGCTAGTAACGAAGAAGATGGTGCCCAGCTCGCCTTCGGGCAGGTTGAACTTTCGGTGGAAGAAGTAAGTCATCCATGACCTATAGAGATGGAGTTAGTGAATTGTACGAATCAAGCAAAGAGCGAAAAAGAGAAAAAAAAACTTACAAAGATGCCAGTCCAGATGCGAACGAGTCCAGACCAAACAGAATGAACAGTCTCAGAACCAACGACCACAGATCGCCGTCGATCGTGGACCAAAGCGAGCCCTTCTTAGGAGCCTCCTGCTCCACAGGGCTAGAACCAGCCAAGAGGGGCTGGGTCTCGCCATTCTGCTCTTGCGCCTCGGCTTGCACTTCCTCGACGGTCGCCTCGACCTTCCTCGTCAGACCCAGAGTCAAGATCAACTTGACCACACCGACAGCGGCATAGACGAAGAAGATAATGCGGCAAGAAGGGATAAACTCCCAGCCATGCAACGTCTGGAGCGAAGTAATAATCCAACCACAGACCAGCTGACCGAGCGCAGTACCAGCGGTACCGACCAGGGAATACCAGGCGAAAACGTCGCTAAGCTGTTTCTTGGGGGTGAGATGAGCCAAGGTCGACTCCTCGACAGCACGGAAGGGGCCGATCTCATTTCCACTGGAAATACAGTCAGCATTGTGCATGATAGAACAAACCAATAGATAGCAACAATGCAAGCCAAAATCTAAACATACCTGGGACTGATCACACCAAACACAGCAGCAGCCAACAGAATCCAATAATTACCAAACAGGGCAAAAATAACACCACTACCAGCCATCAAGATCGAGCCGAGCGATAACACGGCCTTGCGACCCAGGGCATCGGCGAACAGAGTCAAAAAGAAACTAATAACGACATCTCCGACCAAGGTCAATGTCATGAAAAGACCGATGCGATCATCGGAGATGCCGATGGCGGATAGATAGGATGCGAGGATTAGAGTCGAGCCGCCGTACGCGAATAAGCGTACGAAACGCTGGGCGCAGAGGAACTTGACATCTCGTGGCGAATGCCACATGGTGACCAGACCCAATTCATTGAGGGTGTTGGTAACGACGCGACCAGCGCGTGATTGAGTTGGTTCCCCTGCCATTGTGAGGTAGTTGGGGAGAAAAGAATCAGATAAACAATCATTCAAGAAGAAAAGGCCGTGAAATCCGGGATCTCGGGGATTCCTGTTTCGGCATTAGTCCTTATAGTGGAGACCGAGAATTCTAGGCAGCGACAACGTTATCAAGGCTTCTTTTTGATTGGTTGAGAAGGAATTTGGAATAGGCATCAATGAGTCAGGAAGTTATGGGATATTTTGACAAAATAAAAGAAAACACAAAAATCTACTAGTAAGATTAGAACTTTTTAAATAAGAAAATTCCATGTTATGTACCCATCACTCCGTCTTCGGAGGCCACTTCACGCGGCGTTCAGCCCGAACATATAAATTATTCGGTCGGATCAACTGGAACATAGGATCATACTCGATAGTGCCATCATTCTCACGCGTAAACTTATACCGATAAACCAACTTAGGCAAAAACACCTTGACCTCCTGCAAGGCGAAATTGAAGCCGATACACATGCGCGGGCCCGAGGCAAAGGGAGTATAAGCGCCCTTATGACGGTTCTTCACCTCATCAGTATCCCAGCGATCGGGGTTAAAGCGGGCGGGATTATCCCAGACGGCGGGGTTATTGTGTACGTGATGAATGGCGGGGATGACGACAGATTCTTGAGGGAGTTTGTAGCCACCCGGAAGAATCATGTCGACCTTTGCTGTGCGAGCGGGCTGGTACGAGGGGTTGTGTCGGCGTTGAGTCTCTTTGATGAATTTGTCCAGGAAGGTGAGTTTGTCGGTGAGATCGGCGGTGATCTGGGTGTCGGCGTCGATACCGTGGTCGATCAGTTCTTGGAGGAGGCGGTCTTGCATGCCGGGGTAGTTGACTAGGGAGTAAATCAACCAGGAGAGTAGGGAGCTGGTTGTGGTGAAACCGGCGCCGGTGGCCACGACCAAGGCTGACATCAAGCTGGTTTCGGGCAATTTCTCTCCCTTGTTATCCGTAGCACGAATGATGTAGTCTAATTGATATATGGAATTAGCTTTGGTCATTTAATGTTTCTTTTTTGCGATTCAGAACCCAAGAGAGAGAGGGGGGAACAATCACTTACCAACCATGTTAGATGCCTGCAGAGCCGCATCCTGAAGGGGAAGATCTTCCACACCACCACGTGCGGCGTTCGCGATAGACTCCAAAACCATTTCGGTAACTCGTTCGCGCGCATTACGCAATTTCTGCGGATCTCCAAACGGCAACTTGCCATACCAGTCTCCCCAAGCGGCGATCTTTTTGTTGAGAGTAAGTGATTCGGCAATACGGACGACCATCTCGTGAGGAGGAGCATTTGCAGATGTGAAGTGATTGAAGTCGATGCCCAAAACGAGCTTGCCCACAGCCTGGGAGCCCAATTTTAGCATATACTGATAGACGTTCCATGCTTCGCCTTGCTCGTCAAATTCGTCGAACACAGAGAAGGAATCTTCGACGGTCTGTTGCATGGTCGGAGCATAGTGACGGACGGCCTTGGGGCCCAGAGCCGGGGGAAGGAACTTGTGAGCGGCGCGCCACTCGGGGGTGTCGGTATCTCCCAAGAAGACACCAGCCTCTTGGTTCTTGATTGGGTACAAGGGGTGGGATGCGTTGATTTTCTTGGTGAAGAAGTCCGACTCGGAAAAGACGATCTGCGATAATTGGGGATCGTTGGTCTGGTAGATTGTGCGGCCCATGTTGGTGGTTTTGAAGATTGGACCATATTGGTCAAAGAGACGCTGGTGGTTTCCTAAGTGATCGGGGTAGATCTCGAAGAAGTTTCCTACGAAAGGAAGACCCTTGGGGCCGGGAATCTCTCGTACAGCCTTGCCATCGATGGCAATGGCGATCGGCTGCTCGCTGGCGAGAATTTCTGATGGAGTAGATAATTCTGCATCTTCTGTCTGGAAAGAAATTCCTATTGCATCATATTGTCAATGTTCGGCTCTTAATTATTGCATTTTGGAGGGGGTTTTCAAGGAGATAAAATCAATTAAACATACCACTAGGCTCAACAATGGCAAATTGTCCTGCAATCCAGAGTTGAATTCCAGCATAATCAAGTGTCGATTCCAGCTCGACATTACGAGCGGAAGTACTGGACTCGCCCAGCAAGTAGAATTGCTTTACAGACATGTTTTTAGATCAAGTACATGTATGGGTATGTTCCAAGAAAAAACGGCGTTGAAGGAATCCATTATATTTATAAAAGAACAATTGAAACATAAGATAATTCGCGCATGGAATGGAGCTACTAGTTTGAGAACTCCACCACTTTCCCGTTAGAGACACACAGGAGAGATAGGAGATGAACAGGTAATTCCAGATTTTTCCAAGGTTCCAAGCTTTCGCTCCAATTATTCGCAATAGCTTTAATCTCTGTTAGGCAATTTAGTACAGAGAAGCGGACTTGGCGGCCTCGTTGCCTGCCTCGGTAACTTTCATTATTGAGATCTCAGTCCCACTTCAACACTCAAATCAAGCCATGATCGTCATATAGACCCACTTTGAAATGTGGTTTCTGATGAAGATGACTAGAGCTTTCCCCTAAATGGACGATAAAGGAAAGTCTTTCGGGATCAAGGTGGATTCGGTATCGGGTTCTGGAAGTCGTTGGGACGGCTGGACTGCCGTCTTACCGATATTGGATTTCGGGCCTGACTCCGTAAATTTCTATTCCGAGGCACAAGGAGACTTTGTAAGATTGGATCCAAATAAGGCATTGGTTGCGGTATTTGTTTCACATAATTATCAGTGGATGATCCAGGACCAAATCAAGTCCAGATTTCTCTTTCCGACCGGACTTTCATCGGTTTGACTTACTTCCAACATTTTATCATAATATCAAAATGGCTACAGAGACAAAAGAGCTACAGGCTCAATGGCCAGTCGAGACTGAGTTGCCAGAGTATACTCTGAAGGAGGTTGCGACACACAATACCAAAGGAGACACATGGATTGTCATCCACGGACAAGGTTAGTGACCCTTTAAAGAAAGGGAAGAGGAAACACCCGTACTGATGTTAATAGTGTTTGATATCACGGAATATCTGCAAGATCACCCAGGCGGCGCAGAGGTATTGGTTGACACCGCGGGCACAGATGCCACCGCAGCTTACGAGGATGTCGGGCATTCAGAGGATGCGCGTGAGATCATGCAGCCCTATCTTGTGGGTGTCTTAAAAGATGCCCAGCAGTATGTTCGACCACAGGCCGTCCGCGTGGTATCACAAAAGGAGCCAGAAAATAAGACTTTAAAAACTAGCACCGTGGGACTTGTCACCAGTGCTTTGGCTGTGATGCTGCCAGTTCTTTACGTCTGCACTTGCAGTCGAGGAAAGCTCCATTCACACATGGGCGCTCTCTCCCAACTACTGCCTCACCAATTGAAGAACTTCCGTTTCCCCCGAGGTGGCTTTGTGAATGGATTCCTGGCCGCGAGCACGATCAGCGGAGCCATCGGAATCCTAGTCGCGAAACAAGCCAGCCGATTCACCAAAGTTGAATCCGGATTCATGCGCTTCCCACCACGCATGAAGGCCAAGAAAGTGATTCGCGCCGATCCCCACCTGACTCGCGGATTCCTCGAGCCGCAACAATACCAAAGTCTCCCTCTGGTCCAAAAGGACCAATTATCCGCGAATGTCTACCGCTTCGTCTTCGCCCTTCCCAACGCCAACGGAGTCCTCGGTCTACCCATCGGACAACACGTGGCCATCAAGGCAGTTGTTGACGGCACCACCGTGACTCGCTCCTACACCCCAACTTCCAACAACCTCGACCGAGGCCGACTCGAGCTGGTAGTGAAATGCTACCCCGAAGGACTCCTGAGTGGCCGATACCTCGCAGGACTATCTGTCGGTGATGAAGTGGAGTTCCGTGGACCCAAGGGAGCCATGCGCTACCACAACGGACTGTGCCGCAAGATAGGCATGGTGGCTGGCGGCACCGGAATCACACCGATGTACCAAGTGATCCGGGCGATTTGCGAAAACGACACCGACACGACGGAGATCAGCTTGGTCTACGCCAACCGCAGCGAGGCGGACATTCTGCTCCGTGACGAACTGGAGACCTTCGCCCGTCGATACCCGCAGAACCTCAAGATCTGGTACATGCTCGACACGGCAGCAGAGGATTGGGCATACGGAACGGGCCATGTGGATCGCGACGTTCTCGAAAAGCAACTCCCAGCGCACTCACCCGAGACCAAGATTTTCCTATGTGGGCCTCCAGGCATGGTCACCGCTACCAAGAAAAACTTGGCAAGCCTCGGCTTTACCAAGCCAGGACCGGTATCGAAGATGAGTGACGAGATTTTCTGTTTCTAGAATCTAGAACACCTGTATCATTAGTGGAAAAAAAGGGAAAAAAAGGGAGCCGAGGTTAGAAGTCAAAATCTAATAATTTTTTTTAATTAGCGTTGATTTAGTGTTGGTGGAGATCGAAGCTGCATCGTTTTGACGAATCAAGTTTGGGACGAAGCTCATCATGCAACTAGTTCACGCGTCCTGAATCGCCCAACAAAAGGAAAAGCTCGGAAATGCAAGCAAAGACCCGCTTTCTCGAGCGGCAACCCGACTTGGCGCTCCACTCCAAGTCCGAGACTACTACTAGTCTCCGGGCCGAGCGTTTGGGCGTTTGAGGGCGCTTGAGGGCGTTTTGGGGCTTTTAGTGTAATGCGATAAGAATGAACCGAGGCAACTTTCGTTTTTGCGCGATTTCCAAAACTCTTTGGACTCTGAGTGGATTCCTACGGAGTACTCTGTCCGAGTCCCTTACGTCTTTCCCGCGCCAGGGAATAACTTCATTGGATAATAGAATAATTTATACTGGTCGAATTTGGTGGAATTCCTCATGTCTTGCATAGTATCATAACTGTCGCACTACCTGAAAGCCATCACTTACAATGTCAAGTTCTCATTCATTATTTTCGCGTTTTCAGCAAAATACTCTAGAATTGAAGACTTCCATTGAACCCAGGATCCAGGATCCAGGTAGAGAACTGATCAGAACAGGGGGTGACCAAAGAAGACAAGCGATCAGATGAACAAGATGTTTGAGTCAACAACGAAACATGAGACAGGAGTTGAAATTTCGAACTATGTACAAAGTAGAAAATGGATGCGGTCAATCCAATCCAGTCCGAGCACTTTTTGCTTTGTCGGTAGCGGTTGGTAGATGGTTTTTTTTGTTGATTTTCTGTTTTCACCACCAATCATTGACTTGGTGTCCTTTGTTGTGGATGAATGAGCAGCTTCAATTGGTGAACTCGAAGTCTGTTTTTTGTTGGCCGAGGGAATCTTTTTGTTTTCTCATTCTCTTTATAGATTTTCTTTTCGAGGCGAGTGTAACTGGGCTTCTTCTCCTTTTGTTGTGCCCCAATAGTACGGCCAGTGCCATGAAGATTGACCAACATGTTCTAAATAATCTGTACTGTCACGCAAAAGATGTGATGCCTGTTGAGAGAGGATATGGGGCAAATCCGGTTCCATCAGTGCTTCTTCACTGCTCGCTTCTTCGCTGAAACACCTGTGGCTTGTGCCTCCACACCACAAAAAAGAGGATCAATCAACCCATGTCCTGACTGAATTTGTCCTGACACGCGGGAACGTGATGCCTGTTCAGAGAGGATGTGGGCCGAAGAAAAGAAGCATTGGATAACGAGGTTTTTTTTTTTTTTTTTTTTCCCGCAAAATTGACTGCATGATGCCGAATATTTGTTTTGGTGCCTGAAGGAGAATCGGCTTTGTGGCAGACTTGAGGACTGTATGCAGCAGTGATGGGCATATAAAGCCTAAAATATTAATAAAAATGCATAGATGTATCGTTGTAAACATACCTTGGAACTCGTCAAAGTAAGCTGCTTGAAAGCCTCTTGATGACCAGGGTGATCAAAGTGCGAGGCGTGGAAGTGCTAGTCATGGTGACCAAGCTTTGGATGATCATGATAAACATCCAGAAAGCTGAAAAGAATTGATATCAGCAAAGTGACTTGGAAGAATGAGAAAGGAAAGGGAACATTGTACAAACATTTTGGAAGATGTAAAGTAGAAGATAGACATCATAGGCACATCCATAGGATGATAGGTCATTTTTAGAAGGTGATGACAATGATGATTGAATAAATAATTGATGAAAGATCATGAAGGATGATTGATATGGATGACCATGATGATGTATGATGATGATGTTTTTTTTTTGGGAGTAGATGGGAAGTGAACAAAGGAAAAAAAGAAAAGAGGAAGAGAAACCTTGGGGGGGGAGGAGGGGGGGGGGATTTATACCTCATGGATGTAAACACCCAGATCAACAAGATCACCAGGACTACAGGATCGACCAATGGCACGCGAGGATCAAGATCAGAATCAGTTCTCTTTCATGCAGGACCGAATGGGATCAACACCAAAATCAAAACAAAGGATCAAGCAAACAATCGATCAAGCAAACAATGAAATGCACCAAACTCCCACGATCACTGATATCACCCAGCTACTGCGAGATACATAGTAGGCATCATAGGACATGCTCACTCGCTTAGGATTGCGTATGATCGACATTAATGATCCCAGTATCACAAATTAAAGTCAATGATTAGGTACTCATGCGTCTGATAAGGCATGCTTGCCTATAGTTGCTTAAGGCGTGACATACTCTCTGTAAAACATTTTGAACTATTGCTATTAGCCGCATACCTCTTAGTAGTAATTACTTCAACCAAAAAAAACCACCTGGACAAGCTTCCAAGTTCGAGGATGTACATATGATCCGTCATTATTCATAGATTATTAGAAGGTTACTGAACGTCTTTGAATACCTAGCATTCAAATGTTGAAAGAAATCAACTGCTGAAGCCTGAGGGCTCGGTACTAGTCTAACTCTACATCATACAAAATCTGATTCCCACCACTATCAATGCTTGGGTATATCTTATCTCCACGTGTTCTCTTATCTTGTATACGAGGTAACGAGCCCAGTTACCGGCAACGACCGGTATTTGCTACCTAGAGCCCATCAGGTCATGAGGTCAAAAGGGACCTGATGACCTGGTTTGCTAAATACTCCACGCCGTCTACACGTCACTTACTATCTACCAACTATCCATCTTTCTCAGGGTACTTCAAAAAATTCCCAACCTCACCAGATATCACGATTCACGATGAGATCTCATTGGGCCCAATTCTGGCTCCCTTTGCTCCTCGCCACTAACGTCTCCGCCGGTCCTGCCGCTTATGGAGTATGCCAGGCTGGCTGTGCAGCCCTAGTTATGGCCTGCTATTCTGCTGCAGGCTTCACATGGGGTGTTGCGATGGGTGCAACCATACCTGCTTCTATAGTTACGTGCAACTCGGCGTTCGGAACATGCCAAGCAGCATGCGCCTCTGTGTTGCTGGCACCGACGTTGTGAGGACTGTGAAAAGGGAAACCTTTTCTTCGACAGATCGCCACAAGACAGACCAGTTGCTTCTGGAAATTTGATGGATCAAGCCTTGGATGCTCAATACCGTGCGAAAACGCTATGATGGCGCTAAGTTGAAAAGCAAAGGCAATCTATTTTTGTTATTTACTCGCCGAAACTAGCTCATCGCCTGCGTCTCTTTACGAATTCATGTAACACACATTCATTCCCTCTCAGAGGCCTCTTGAATATGTAGTTGCCATAGATATTGCTGCGAGACACTGGGGGCTAAGCCTAGAATAATGAAACCTAACCTTAAGATGGTGGCTGACTCTACTTAGTATGTAATAGCCTGGAGTAATAATGAGTCAAGTTTAACAAAAAATTGAAAAATAAAAAAAACAAAAACATACAACAGCCCCATGTAAGGTTGTGGTTACCTGGCGCCCACGATTCGGGCGTGGGCGGCTCGCCGCTCTATTCAGCCCCCCTTCAGGGCAATTCGGGCGGATTTACCGTCCTAAACATTCTTCGCCTGACTAGTGCGTCTATCTTATTAACATGTACATCATCGCATTTTGTGTAAGATGTAAGGGCCTTCCTTCTTCCTCTCCCGATTGTTGTTATAATCCCCCTCTTCTACCTCTCCAGGTTTAAAGAGCATAATAACAGCGAAATATCCCAGTGCTGATTTTGTTTGACCGGGCCGATATAGCGCAGAGATATTATCAAGCTACAATGGAGCCAAGGATAAGACTATTCTGGGTACCGCCTGGGTACCACCGGAGCACCAGCGTACTTATGGTGTCGTGGATTGGGTCCTCCTGTCTTCTGACCCTGGCCAGTTGTTAGAAAACCTTGGGATTCTAACCCGATTCGGCCTTGATTAGAAGAGAGTTTATACTTAATACCTTTTTGGAAGAATCCCTTTAGATTCCCTAAGTTTTACTCTTTGTATGCGGCTTATTCTATTTTCCCTTGTGCCTTATCTTTGAATTATTCCTACCTAGCTATCCTTATGAAAGAAATATCTACAACCCCTGGCCGAGTGTCTTTGCCTTCTGGACAGGTATAATGAAGCATCTGGGCATGAATAGACACATCCAAGTTGTCCGGTTCAAAACTTCTGCAGACTGAACAATTCGGTAAATAAAGCTTACGCGAAATAAAAATAAAAATAGAAATGACAATCTTGGAATGAAATATTCTGGGCCAGGAGAGCCAAAGAATATGCAGCGACATGATTCCTTCTATTAATCACCACCTAGCATCCATTGTTCAGGTGTGGGCAGCCTGCTATTCGGACTGATGCGCCTCAACGGACTGTAAAGATGTTGGTTGATTCAAACAGACAATTATCAATCTAAAGCTCAGGCGATAATGATCTTCCTAACTTTTAGAGAAATTGCTTGTTCATACGCACAATTCAGACAGCAGCGGTAACAAAAAATAGCCGGCTGCGGAGAAAGAGATAGAAACTGCGCCACAGGGTTCCCTGCAGTCTGAACAATGGAGACTGTGGATTCGACGACATTTGTAAGATCGGGCGCGCGAACAGAGGTTATCAAGACTGAATTTGCGTAGTTCTCCTTCAACGGGGTATTTCGAGGATGTTGACAGGGGTTAGCACGGAGAAGCCTAAGTAGCGCGTCCAAACACGTCGTGAAACAAACACCGAAGCGTTGACCAGGAAGAATAACCGTGGCTTGAAGTGTCAGTCCCTCTGATTTCTCTGAGAGTGCCAGTGAAAGATCAGAATGGACACCTTCCGCGTTAGGAACTATCAGGTCAGTGGATTTTGATGGCTTCGAGGGATGATATCGAGTCCAAAGCTTCGGCGGTGAATCCGCAATGAGCTTTTCATAGTAATGGTTGTTGAATAAAATCGGTCCATCTAGGAGCTCAATGCCTCGTGAATGGCACAAATTCTCATAGCCCAGTTTGATGAGCGGTGAGGGAACCATGGTAAATTTCCTATCCGATGCTGCGACTATTTCTCTTCCCCATTGAGGACATATCTGTTCCCAAGCCGAATGAGGGTCAATCTCAAAATGAGGTAATTTTGGATCTCCCCAGAAATTAGGATATTCAGGGCGAGAGCTGACTTTATCCCCACCAAAATCAACATATCTCCAAGTAGCTTGATCGCAGGCGTTCACAAAAAGGGTAGTAAATGCTAACCATATGGTATCAAGAATCTGGCAAGTAAACCCCTCCACATTCTTGCATTCTCTTTCCCAGTCATCTCCCCATGAAGTGGAACGAAAGGAATCTTCGGGTCTTGTAGGAAGGAGCGCCCTTATGCTTTGGTCAAGCCGTCTGAATGCGTCGGGGTATGAGGGCCAAGTCATTGGTAGTGGAATCCCTGTAACAGCCTCACACCGCTGATGCATGACTGTACGGTATTGATCACCCAAAAGGTATGAAGCAGGAAAGCATAAAGAGTCATCGACATGAATATCGGTGATTTCCGCGGCAGAGAGAGCACATACTCCTATTGCTTTGATAACTTCCGATGAGCAAGCCAAATCCCACCGCTGAAAGTTGGTATGAAGCAGCGCCGCAATAAGTCCATTCCATGAAAAGTCTGCACTTATGGGAAGAGTGTCAACAGGAATTTGCCACTTGTCATCAGCATCCGAGGCCCGGGAGGAGTAAAGGATTTCGACTAGAGAGTTCGCTTTGTGCATATTATGAACTTGAAGTGGTTGGTCTTGAAGCTCCGCTACGATATCCACGATAATCGAAGACGAGCGGCTACCTTGGTGAATAACGAGGCCTTCGATCATCACAATACAATCGTCTGTAAATAAGGCAACCGCAAGGGTCAGGATATAGCCTATACCGCAACATCCACGGATTCGAAGTATGTTTTCATCTTCTCGTAGAGCATAAGAGATGCTCACGAGTATCTCTGCCATCCAATCTTCACTGATCTCTTCTAAAATGTTCATTGGTGCCTCCCGCTGTAGCTGCCTGTACGCTTCATGGATGCGACAAACTTGGTTTGCGATGATGGTACCGAATCCAAATACTGCAAGCTTATCTGCCAGTACCTGCGTGGCTCGTCCTAGCAGCACCGGGCTGCTTGAACATGCGGTCCCTGGTAACAAGCCCTTTGAAATTGAATGTAGAACATTTCCAGCTGAATTCCTGTAAATGTTGCAAAGATAAACTGCTAGTAAGGCAATTGCTTGGCCACCTGTTGACTGAGCCATAAGCGACGCGGCGTCGCCTTTGCGCCAGCCCACAATTACCCCAAGACGTTCGAGTCGTGTGCTTTGAAAACGCTGGAGATATTCTGGGGCCTTGACTGTCATTGGTCCGGTTATGGGAAATGCGGCGCCGAGATTCTGGAGCTGAAGCATTGCAATGGGTTGAACGTCATCAGCTGACAGTGCTGTTAAAATCGTGGAGAACGCCCCAAGACTGGCAAGGGAGACTCCTCCTATATCAACCTGCGTGGCTATGGTATCTGGCATTTTGCTCGCAGAAGAATAAAGAAAAATTTATAAGTAATTATAGCAAAGAGTGAGAAACAGGAGAGAGCAAGAGATGCAGCAAAGATGTTTGAGTCGAGAGACCCCGCCCGAGGCGGTGTTGTAATGCGTAATGCTTGGCTGCCAATATACAGTGAGAGCACGTAGGTTTCTAACGCACCGGGCCAACAGCCCCCTGGATTGTGTAATATTATGCCGGTCAAAACCTTTCATCTCTTTACATTTCTAGCTACTCTCCTAGTATTCCCACGCGTTGTGTACATATTTACTAGCTTGGGAGTACGCGCTTGAGAAGGGCGGTATAGGCGGTGAGGGGGTGCGAGCCCTGGAGCCGGCCCATGGGTTTTCCTGGCAGCCTGTGGGTTGGTCTAATTTTATCAAACTATTAGCATCAGGGTGAAAAAAGATCAATACCGACATCTAATCTGATGGTTGTTACGAGCTGGTCCTACTGCACTGGTAAGTACCCACGGTCTCTTGTCTATGCGTACCTCAAGTGTATTCCGTAGTCGTACCATTGCTAAAGACCTTACATATGCTCGGACCTATACATAGGAGTACTTACAAAGGATATAAACCAGTAGAGCACTAAATAGTAACATGGGGATAAGCTCTTGATAGGATTGAGTCCATTAAGTCAAGGTTGTGATGATGTCAGTAATCAAATAACAAAGATGGTAATTAGCAGTCTGGTTGTAATGACAAGTAACTTAAGTATGATTCAAGATTGAACATGAAGAACTAAATACATGATAAATTGGTGATAACAAGTGTCCTCATACACTCCCACATATATCCTCGAATATGCCATGAACCTGAAGGTGGTGAGGTGCTGTCTCTGACAGACTTGATGGGTCTGTCAGTATTCGTCCAATAGAACAGCTTGCTAATCTGATTCAATCTGTATTGCGAAAACCGCCCATGCGGCCAACATTTTTGTGGCCTTGTGCTTGTCCCGTACATATTTCTCCGATAACTGGATTTACAATACCTCCGGCCTTGGCACGCTCATTTGTTGTCAGTTTCTGGCGCTCCCCTTCGCCGTCCGGTATCCTTGTGGAATTTACTTTGTTGTGGTGCATGGAAGACCACAGATGGCTCCCCGTGCATTTGATTTCCTGACCTATTCTTGAAATAGGACTTTGATCCTTGTGTCTAAAGGCAGGCTCAACCGCTTTGAATCCAAACACATTTCTCATGAATGTGGATTTCATTCTAAAATGTTACTGCCATGGGGTCTAAGTTTCACTTATGAAAGATCAAAGATCGAGATCAATGATTAGGATTGGTTACTACCCCGCTTCATCAGGCGCTGACGTGTCCTCCTGATCTGTTCTCAATTCACTGGCGAACCACTTTGTATTTAAACCCGAAAACCCTGGGACCAGGGGAAGTCAAGTTTCAGTCCTGAAAGTAATCAAAAAGTGCTTTGACTTTGCTTTTCTTTCCGTACCTAGCTAGCGTTGGGAAGGTATATAGACCAGTCTGAACAATTTTGGCGCCCGGGCGAAATATAATTCTGTTATAGTTGACCTAAAAATGCAAAGAAACTGTAGAAATGAGCATAGGGAAGAAAAGCCACATCAGCTTTCAGGCACCTGCAGGATGTTCAGGTGCAAAATAGCGGTGTTCAGGGCATTCAGGGTGAACGGCCTGAAGGGGCTGAAGACTAGGGCGGCAAGGGGCTATTTCCCAACGAGTCAAAAAAAAAATAGGTAATAAAATTCACATACAACAGTCAGGATTCGCATGTGGTCACCCACCATACTACTAACTGACCGGCGTGTGGCTTAAATGCGGCCAGTAGTTCGGTGGGTGCCGCCAGGGTGAGAAATGGGTGAGAGCCGCTTTAGCGTCGCGCGACCCTGGGTGAGAAGGGTGAGTGCGTAATAGACAGGGTGAGAAGCAGGGTGAGAGCGGGTGAGAAATCACCTTCCGTCATACAACGGTCGCATTGACCTTCCAAGATGATCAAAAGTAGAACATTATTAGGCCACGATATCCCATGTTAAACTGCTAGCCTCTTAGCATATACACATAGCCCGTCTAGAAGCGAACAAAGTGGTTTTCGAATACCAGTTCAGCAATCATATAACTTTCGATTAATATATTTAACCCTATTAACTCTAGTATACCTTACTACTATTATTATTATTACTTAATTACTATATCTAATATATATACTTACTTCCTATAAACTACTACTTTATATAGCTTATATTATATACTCTCTAGGTACTCTTTAAGTAATTTCTAATTATCATTATATTTTATAGATAATTTATAAATAGATACCTTAAATTAGAGAGTATATATATAAATCATAACTAATAAAATCCTAATAAAGAATATTATATTACTTTATATATATTATATATAATATTAAGTACCCTAGTAAATTATAATTAGGATAAAAGAAGGATATTATAAAGATCTAGGATAAAATATAATAAACCTATTTTAATAAAAGGGAAGAAAACTATATATTATATTAATTATAGATAGGGGGATAATCATAGAATAGAAAATTTCTATATTATATTTTATACTAATTAAATTATTAACCTAGCTATTACCCCTCTAGCCTATATAGGCCTAATCTATATATAAATCCTAATATAGATTTTAAAATCATATAAGATATTAGAATTATATAATATATAGGTAATCTACCTCCTAGGTCCACTTTTATTTTATATATAATACTTAATCCTATACTCTTATTCCCTATAAAATCATTATTACTCTTTATTTAATCTAAGCTTATAGTTTTATTAGTATATTAATATATAAAAATAAGATTATCTTAGCTTTATAGCTTCTTTTTAATATACTAAGTAAAATTTTTAGAACCCACTATAAGCTAGTATTTATAGCTCTAAAAAAGATAAGAGATATACTAAAGGCCTAGGAGTTAGAAGATAGCCTAAACTCTTTATTCAGAGAAGCTATAAGAAGAAGTTACATTCAAGAAGCCTAACAAATCCTTTAATTAAATATCTAAAGTATTCCCTTAAATAATCTACTAGATCTATAGAATACCCAAGAAGGCCTTCCTTAAGATATATATCAAGATCTCTAAACTAATCTACTAAATAATCTACTAAACCTAAATAATACCTAAGAAGGCCTTCCTTAAGATATATATCAAGATCTCTAGATTAATCTACTAAATAATCTATTAAGCCTATATAATACCTAAGAAGGCCTTCCTTAAGATATATATTAAGATCTCTAGACTAATCTACTAAATAATCTACTAAGCCTATATAATACCTAAGAAAGCCTCCCTTAAGATCTCTAGACCAATCTACTAAATAATCTACTAAATCTATATAATACCTAAGATCTTCCTTAAGATACCTAGCTAGATCTCCAGACTAGTCTACTAAGCTAATATAATATCTAAGAAGATCTTCCTTAAGACCCCTAGTAATATACTTCCCTATAATAAAATTAGTAAAACTACCTATATAACTCTAAGTAAGATCTTATAATCAAACTAGAAAATATAATTAGTAAAGAATATACTAAACTATTTAAATTAATAAAAGAAAAATTATATAGTATTTTAAAGTTTTATAAAGCTAGTACTTCTATTACCTAAATACTATAAAACTAGTAAGATATAAATAAGATAATATTTAATATAGAAGTTTTACACTTCTTAAGTAGTAATAATCTTTAAAATAATAAAAAGAAGTAGCTTTTAAGATTATTCCTTTAACTATCTCTAAATTAAATTTTTACTAAGTAAGAGTAATCTAGTAGATTTATCCTATAGATTTAAAAAAGAAAAAAGTTAAAACAAAATAGTAAAATAGCTAGTTTTATAAGAAGTCTTTAATACTATCTAAAGAAATACTATAAAGATTTAAATAAAATAATTAGTTAAGGAGTTAATTAGCTTCTCTTTCTTAATTCTTTTAAAAAGATACTCTATAATAATAAAGATCTTATTATAGGGATTTTTACTCTATTCATAATATTTAATTATACTAAGTTTAAAATACTCCCTATTATAAAGCTAGGATTACTTATAAATTCTATATATATATTATATATACTTAAAGATAATTAATTTTATAATTCTATATATTAAATTTCTATATATTAAATTTCTAGATAGTTTATTAATATATAAGCTAAATATAAACTCCTATCTATATCTTTAGAGAATATAAAAATATTATATAATTTTATAAATCTTAGCTTATCTATAAAAAGAAATTACTATAGAGATACTAGATACTCTAAGCTTATAGATTTCTCTATTTTACCCTTTAGTAACTTAGGAGTAATAAGTAAGCTTATAGAGTTCTTTACCTTATTCTCTAATAACCTAGTAGTAGTAAGTAAATTAATAGATTTCTCTACTACTCTCTCTAATACCTAAGAGATAATAAACTATCTTAATATATAAGATCTTAGAGATTATTAAATATAATCTTTATCTATAGATATAGAGTTATATAATCTAACTTAAATCCCTATAAATATAAATAGTTTCTTTATAATATATATAAATATAAATACCTAATTATCTTTAGTTAGCCTAAATACCTTTATATTTCCTTAAAGTCTATTATTAAATATAGAGCTATATAGATTATAGCCTTAGGATTTATATACTAGAGTAAGATAAATAGTAAGTATAATTTTAGTCTAATTTTTACTTCTTATTCTTTTTTTATAAATAATTATTTTCCTTTAACTAACTATATCCCTAAAGCTTTTAGATTATCTTCTAATACTTAAATTAGAATAATAAGTATATTATTTATACTATAATAAAAGTATATATATTATAGACCTATAATCTATATTAATAAATATCCCTAAAATTCTAAGATTTATTAGAAATATCTAATTTAAGATAGAAGGAGTATTATATACTTTTCTAAGAAGATTAATCTTTTTTAAAAATAAAATTACTCTAAGGTTTAGCTCTTTAGATTTATATATCTTAAAATCTTAGCCTT